AAGATTTAACTATTGCGGGGGTGTACACCCCTCCTCATCTCGCTGGTCGCGCGGCCCCTGCCGGTATATTCTTAGATGTAAAAGTTCAATATCTTTAGTTTCTCTCAATCAATCATTATGATTTTTTCAGATTACGTTCCTCTAATAAGTCCCTACTACCACACAAAAAAATGACAATTTTATCGCAAGCCATTCTTGAGATATTGGACTCACAAGGTTAAAATGATCGATTTTTACTGCCATTTATCGATAAAAAATGGTCTAAAACCGATTTGTTCTCTGTTATTTCAACATTGGAACTTCGCGATATTATTGTATACTGTCTTTACTTTTCGGATATGAAACCGGCGGACTCTTTCATCGCAGCTCTTATTACATTTTTTCCGAATATCAAATGTACAGTCAACCCTCGATTTCTTGTCAGGCGAGATTAAAAATGACCTAAGCATGTAATAACGCATTTAAAACTGATCGGGCTATTGTTGAATGAAATTCTCATAATCGAGTGATAAAATTGATTGCCGCACTAAATGCCACGCGAGATTTGTAACCTTGTCTGACATGTAACTCTCTTAAAGTATGGCAGATTGAGCTGACACTTTGACGGTTTTATACATTCCTTGCGATCAAGTAATGTTCAAAATACCAGGATATCAGAAAGTTTATCGTTTGTATAAAAGAGAAAAAGTATTGTACAAATATCATACACGATTATTATGTGCATAACTATACTGTTTAATGCAGGTCAAAATAGATATATCACATAATAATTGATTTCATAATTAAAGAGCTGTCAAGACTCGCACTAGGTAACTCTAGTTTGTATCTGATCAGTTAATGAATTCGAATGTAAACAGAAACAGAATGTGTCACGTATCACGAATTGCGTAATAGAAATAGAAGCGGTTACGCCCATGTTGCGAATACCGGATCATTTTTTGCGATAAACCGCGGTAATTATCCTTCCTGTGGGTAAAGGGAGCCGGTAACCTGACTGGTACAACCGCCAATTTTCATGCGGCTTTTGTTACATGGGAGATCAATAATGTATTTTATTGACTTGAGAAACAGAAACAGAAACACAAAAAAAACGAGATGAAAGAAACGAATATAAATGCTAGTCCAGTTTTCTTTAGAAGAGAACATATATACGAATATAGATATCATAACTCATTCGAAAGGAATTGAAAGAACAGAAAACAAAACAAAACAAACACATATAATATAATATATATGTTACTATATCACCGAATGTGAGATAATAGAAATGTCGACAAGGCGGAAAAAGAAGACTGAGGACCTAACAATACCACTCATCTATCATCAACAACCAAATCAACCTTATGCAAAGCCGACGGTGTAAAACAACGTCAAGCAAACGCAAGAAAATTGAAAAAGAAAAATTATTGTATGCAAGTATTAAAATGATTTACTTGTAAAATATACCTGATCGAGTTAGTGTTGTTCTACTCGAATTTTATTGTTAATTTAACACTTATTTTACTTGGTACACTCTAAAAAAAAATAAAGATGCTTAGGTGNGACTGAACCCTGAGGGGTACCCCAGGTGAATTTTTGATAGAAAAAAAGAGTTGCCAAAAGTATTTAAAATATAAATTGTTCCAGTCAGTCTTTTGCGCTGATTCCAAATATGTTATTAGTTGTGGCTCATGTTGTAGTTTTTACGATAAAAATCTCAATTTTCAGATTTAAGGCGTTATACGTCCCACTTTCTTTATTTTATTTTTGGCAAATTCATGCACTTGCTAATCAAGACTAATCAATTGTATCATCAATTTCAGTTAATTCTACACTCATTTAGAGTCAATTATATACCGGTTTCAGACCAATTCCGGCCAATTCCAATTCCAATTCCAATTCCAATTCCAATCAATGCCGACCAATTCCAAGCCAAGAATTGGAATTGGTGCATCTCTACTTAAGTGTGACGCTTCAAATGCATGTTTTTCATTGATTCTGCTTGAATGTCTGAAATCGATCACCTGTTGATACTTACGGCGTCTACCCAGGTGCATGAATCCGACAACGGATCTTATCGAATCCTATGGGATCCGACTCCCTGACAGAATCCGATAGGATCCTACTGTCGGAATGATTCTCCTGGGTAGTTGGGACAAGAAAAATGATGTATCTCAGCTAGACATGCGAAGTGTCGACCAATTTTCGACGCTTTAATAAAATAAATTGTCATTTGAAGCGTCTTTTAAGATACGTGTCATCTTGTAGAAAGGTATTGCATCGTGAAACACCATTATGACGAATCAAGGATTTTCCAGAAAGGCAGCATTTTACTGTTTAAACAGTGACATCTTTAAGAGTACTTTTTGTTGTTACGTAAAAGAAAATATAGTTAATTCAATTGAATCGTGGGTTTTGATTTTAACTGAGGATGAATGCAAATTGAAACTACATGTTGCTTGCAATAGGGATGGTGAGAGTTGAAACAAGATTTTGTACTATTATCAATACAGCGCACCATGAAATTTTTTTTTACGCACAATAGTTAAGGAATTTACAAGAAATGAGATCGGCTGAGATTGTGGCGTATGAATGTGACTGAAATGGAGGCCAGTATTCACACACCTAAAAGTGTATTAAATGATGTTTTGTTTTTTGCAAGTATTATATTTACGTTAAGAGTGGTAAAACTACGTCGAAATCAACTATTACCACTTAAACCTAACTTTTTCAATCTTAGTTTACATTCTCTTCAGGTTTTCAGGTCTATTCTCCTTATTTTCCCTACGACTTGTAGTTATGTGATACTTTGAAGGTTTGTTTTACTACTCTTCAGTTTGTCTATCCGCAGATCCTTTAAATCGCAGTATAAAATTTTCTTCAGTAAAATAAGGAAAAGCTGCAATGCAACCATTTCCTTTCTTTTAAGAGCTTGATGAAAGTGATAATCTTCGTAAAAGTATTCCAGACAGAGTACTTTATCACAGTACACGTGCGCAATGAAAGAACTCGAGTCTGTGCATATCTGTGAGTGCCGACGATTCCCATTGAAGGAGAAGGAAATTTGTTTCACATTTTGAGAAGTACGTGCGTTAATCGTCAAATAATCAAACTTTTCCATGTGTACTTAATCATCGAGTGAAACTTCGGAGATGATAGCTCATCATAGACCAGTGAATTCATCCTAATGATATTATTTCTCTATGGCAAGTGACCATCCAAGTCGTACAAGCACGCGAGATAGTAGACTTTGCGAACAAGATATTTGTATTGACGATTTTAGTACATATGGCACGACTGAACCATCGACGTCAGTTTCTGTCGTATCTTTAGACATTTCACCGAACTGACCGCTCCAGTAAACAGAGAGTATAGAAGGCAGTTGTGAGTATCGATGGTTGGTTTAACCCGCTGTTAACTCAGTACTGTACTAAACCAGTAGTCAGTTTACCTCACTTGCTGCAAGTGATTACAGTATTTGTAGTAGCGAAATGATCTCGTTTAATGCTGTTACTCAAATGCTCGCTGGCTTCGTTCAAACAGAAAAACAAAGGTCCAATTTGATGACATCATAGGAATTTTCGAAAGATTTTTTGGAAACTGCCACGGTACCGGTGGCGGAAACTTGGTTTATACATTATTGCAGTGCGGTATAGGGAGATTTTCAACTGCAATAGACATATCTGATTTGTTCTTGCAAAGATCGATTGAAAACCTTTAAAAAAATCGATCAGGATTATCGGTAATATACGGTACAATGCGTGTCCATCTCCTTTCTTTTTGAACAATGAGTGAATCACAGCTGTCTGTCCTGTTTCTATCAAAAGTTATCTGAAAACAAAAATGACTCATCAGTCCATTTCGAGAAAAAGTTTCTTGAGACTTTTCAAAAGGAACTAAAGTGTCACTACCATTAATTTTGAAATATTCTCAGTATTTTAATAACGATATAAAAAAGTAATACTACTATTCAATGAAAGATTTTCTATTTATTATAAAAGTTTTAAAAAAAGCTTAGGATTTTAATAAAAATATTGATTTTTTTTTCATTTCTCACGATTGCCAACTTTAGCAGTGTTTTATTAGTAATGAATAATCTTAAGAGTGAAATTGACATCGGTTTATATAGAATCTCATTATCATGAAGATTTACGCCATCGAATTAGAACAATAACGAGAGCACTGAAAATAAAAATTGAAATTACCTTGACAATATGGTATTTTGTGGTCGAATAAAGATATCTAAAGAACTACACGCTTAAGTTAAGACCCCCTTCAAAAATTAATTTAATTTCTAATTTTCTATATTAATCAGCGAGATGTTCTTTAAATTGATATGAAAATGTTAGATTAAATATTTCCTTTGATTATACGTATACATGTGTGTGAAGGTGGATGCAAATCTTCTCTTGATTCACTTCACATTCAAAAACAAAATCGACAACAATATATTACAATCATATGAAAATGCAATCTATGAAAAACACTTTTGCACTACTGTTTATCTTTTAGTTTATTTCAATTTTTATTTTGCGTAGCCAAATGCTGATAGATGAGCTCTCTCATATTTAATTGAACATGTTGCATTCGACCAAAATCCATTATTATCATCATTGAATGTCGCTAATGTTTTATTCACTGATGTTGTATACGTTGGAGATACAATATTTTCTAATTCAACTTTCTGTAAATGTCCAAATAATTGTTTCAAATTCATGATCGCTATCGAGATTCTCGCCCGAAGAAGAAGAAGAACCAGGTAATTCAAGACTTTCTAAATGTGGCATAGATTTCATTATATCAAATAGATGATTATTTGAGATAAAATTAATTTTCATTTTTAAATAAACAAGATTCAACACAACTGTCAACTGCCAATTGGTTTCTATTGGTTCGTCTTCTGGTTCAAAATTGGCTAACTTAATATTTAGTTATTTTAATTTTGGTGTGTGCAACAGAAGATTACTTAAGCTATATAAAATCCAGTCGACTTTTAAATTCTCAATGTTGGTTGGTTTAGGTCAAGTAAAAATGGCACCACTTTCATATTCAGGATTTGTACATTCGGATGATTTTAATTCAGGTAATCCGTTGGCGCAAATAACCATTAGTGTGAGACCATGAATCTGCCCTAATGTTTGAACGCGTAAATTTTTTAACAATTTTAAATTTGAGATGTATTGAACCACTGATGGTTTTTCTGAAAGAAAAGAAAAATTTATGAATTAAATTCACTTTTAATCTTTTAAATTGTATTGCCTTTACTAATACAAACTTGATGAAGTGCAACTGATTGTAGACACATCAAGCTACTTTCTGTGAACATTGCATTAAACATTCGAATATGATTATCTTTAATTTATGTCACAGCTGTAAGATGGTTCACCATTATTTGGCTCATTTTGACGTTGATTATATTATAACGTTTTGCATGTTTCGAATTATATTTTAAACAAAGTCGATGATCTTTTAATAATCGATTGAAAAGATAATTCAAGTTAAAAAAACCGTTTGAATAAATGATACGCACCCAAGTGCTCAAAAACGTGCAGTGTAACTTCATTACGCAAAGTTTCCAATACTGTTGCCATCGTAGTTTATCTCAAATAAAAAAAACGATAAACCGTTTTATAATATCAATAAAGATTAGAATTGTTCCGTAAATTTTCCTAGTATTTGATGCGCTGATCATTGGGAAGGCATCTCATTGTTCACTATTTAGTAATTCATGATTGATTCATATACTATTACGTGAACAAATGCTTTTTAGAATGGGCAAATTTCTTTACATTGAAAATGCTCAAGATAAAAGTCATGATGACGCTGGTAATAGGTATACATTTCATGAAGTTTGTGTCACTGATGATAGTTGATGCCAGAGATGGTCACAGGACAGAGTACGACATTTTGTTTTCACTCTATCCTGATTCAGGGCAGAGTTGGGTTCTGAGTGTCGTGTGACTATGTGTTGGTGCCTGAGTATTACTTAGGTGGAGTGACTGGGTGTAGTTCAAATCTTGGCGTCACATCAATGTAAAACATTTATAGAAATAATCGAATTAAAATCATACATCTTTAATCAAGTAATGATTTTGTACAAGACATCGATTGTTTTTCAGAGGGCGTGCGTGTTGTTCGTCTATTAAACAACGTCAATATCGACTCACACACTGGAGTCCATCGGCTTTGGGTGAAAAGATTTTACTAATCGGAAGTCGATTGGCAGAAAAACTTGATCAAAATAAAAAAATTTCGTTCATTTTATTCAAAAGCCGTTACATTTATTTATGAAAAGTAGAAAATTCTGTGCTGAATTAGAAAAATTTTTAATCGTTTTAAGAATACTTTAAATTCTGGATTCCGGAAAATTTGATCAGTAAGGTCTGGGTTCAAAAGTCCTGATTGGTTGGGTTCGGGTCCGCGAGACCACAAATCCATGGATCCGATGGGCTCTACCACACCCTCAAGATGTCGCGTACAGAAATTATTGCCTAGATATAATTGGCATTAACGTATTTAATATAATACTTAATTTTCTTTTCTAGGGAAATTCATTTTTCCCCAAATGGTAGAATTGGCATGTGCTCTTCACTCCGATGTAGGTTTGCTATCCAGACAATAGTCGATTTAATCTTTAAAAATTGAGTGATGCATGTGGACGAAGATTCTTTTCGAAATACCTAAGAGAAATAATCAATGATAACTATGCGAATAAAAAATTGGTCACTCATTCAGCATCTATTTCCATCGCAAATTCTTTAATTCATCAGCATGATGTCTACTACGCAGTTAGTATTAAACATCGTACTCAGCACATGAAATTCATCTATTTGTTTAAATAGATGTAACGATGAAAACTTGTTGGGCACTGCGAATGTTTTTCTTTAATTTAAATTGAAGTAATTGTATGAATTTCGATTCTTACTATGAAGAATAACTTTCTTTTTTTCAATGATGAAAATGATGTAGTTTCATTAAAGTTAAAACACGATTTATTTTGATATTTGCATTGGAATGAAAGAAGATAATCAAAATGAGTTTTATAAGAATATTTCAATGAATAAAACTCGTCTACAATTAAGCATTGTTTTGAGTATCGAGAAAATTGATTTTGGTTGGAAGAAAAAAGCAGAAGCGAACTACAACAGTACAAATTCAAGGCTATTTATTTATTTTTCATTTCATTAGATTTTGAAGTGAATAAAAGTAGTAGTGCAGAATGAAGTTTTGATCGAACTATTGCGTATCAAAAATTATTCAAGGCCGTGTGCACGCCCTCCTACGAACGCCTATAATCTTCTCTAATACATGAAATCATCGATAGAAATATGAACTCTCAGAAGAAGTGTAGCTTGAAGTTCTGCCTATTTAATTGATGTCTTTAATTAATATGTTGACGTGAATTATTCTGTGTTGCTCCCAAGTGATAGAATATATAAAAAGTGAATTCTTATATTTCCCATTGTTTCAATCAAAATATGATTTTGATTAATTGTATATTGTTGTGTGCAATTTCTACGTCTTCGTTTTCTCTTGCGATGCCACTCTTATTAGTAATTTTATTTTCTAATTTTATCGAAAAGATCTCTCCCGCTCTCTCAGTACAGTTGCCAATTTTAAGAATAGCATTCATTATTAGTATTTCTCCAACATATCCAATGTCATCTGAAATTAGTCAGCCAACGGTCACTAAAGTTTCTAAAGCGACTCTACCTGTAAGTAACTTGATAATAATTGTCTCTTTTATCGGACGCATTTATTATCTATTAGAAGAAGACCCTAAAATCTGTTTCTGTTGGTCGAAGAGCTTTATCGAGTATTTTCTACCGAGAAAAGATACGAACACGTACTATCGCAACACCTAGAAGTCAACTACGTATTCATGTACAACAAATAACCAACACAGATCAAATAAATTGGTATGGAGAAAATGCAAAACAACCGCTCGAAGTAAATGATATTTGGAACATTGATTATCACTCTTGATATCTTAGATGGGCGAAATGCGGCCAGTTAGCCGACACGGCGAGTCATCAATTTTATTTCCGGGCCGAGGTCGTGTCAGACCAACAGAGAGAGATGTAAGTTCATTTCAACCATTTTTCTAGTTACCCAAAAACGTTAATTTAGAGCGTAGTCACTCCTACAAGTATTCAATGTGAACCTGATGAATATAAAAAGTAAGCTTTTTTCTATGACTAATTTCAATCGAAAGAGATTTATGACGTATCAAGAACATAAAATACATATATGTATCATTTCAAAAGACTGACTGGCAAATTAAGAAATGTACAATATGAGCTGTGAATGAGGCACAATGATTGAAATATGCAAATTTTTATCAATCATTTTTTAAAAGCAGTTTTCAGATTGTGTACGCTGTAATCAGTTAATATATCGACTTTGTTGGTTTACCGGTGAGACTTTTAAACAGATATGAATATGTTTAACGTTCTTGCTTTTCAATACATACCGTTCAATTATTATCATAAAAGTGATAAAATTTCTTTGATACTTTAGAACTCCAAATAAATTTAAATTTAAACCAAAAAGTTGCCTTTTTACTATGATATCTATTATAGCATTGGTTATCATTGTAGCATTATCAATAGTCATTGCCTTTCTTGGTTTGTACTTGATTGTTATTTTAAGCAATAATTTTTATTTATAAACAATATATTTTAGCAACAGCTGGTAAACAAGCAAGTCAAAGCACGAGTAAATATAAATGACAACTCTTCGTGCGCTTAAAAACATCATCATCATCATCTTTCTTTTTGCTTTTGTTTATCTTTATCTATTGAAACATCGATATCAACGAATGATATGAAGTTGTTCAGTATGTCTTCTAGTATTTATTCAATCAGAGAGAGTAGATTGAGCATTGAGATGAAAAAAATAGACCGTGAAGAATTACGAGTTGAATAAACAAATATCGGTAGGAGCAAAATGAGCCCAAGAAATATTACATACGATTGTAATAAATTGTTTTATGAAAATTTTGATTCTTCTACAATTCTATCAATTACAACTGATGAGCAGTAGTTTTCATACATCTCTGAGTGTCACTTGATATCGTTAGAAATGCGCATGAACAGTCTCAAGCAGGCACAAGTTTCACTGGTCTGCTTTTGGACGGTGAAACGCCGTCAAGAAAAAATAACATGGGTATTTTAATAAGTCTTATCTGAATAATAAAAATCATTAGAACTATCATAGGATTTTGTTGGCATGAATGTGTGCGGATATATTGCATGTACTCATGTAATTTATATCGAAGTTTAAACCTGCCAAAATTTTGCATCCATAAAATAATAATGGCTGTAAGATGTGTACTCATGTAATACATGGATAGACAATGTTAATTTGTTAAAGCAAAATCAAGATAAAGCAGTGAAATGAAAAATGTCAAAATGGATATAATATAAAATATGTCAAGTTATTTGCTTTTGCCAATACCATCTTGGCTGTTTAGACATCTGATTGATTAGATTAGTTTAAAAGTATCTCATCTAAACGTGATAAATACTTTGCAAGGGATAAATAGAAAAGTTTTGAAAGTTACCGTGGTATCTTTAAATATTAAAAACGAATATCAAGAAAGCTTTTGATATGATGCCTTGATCAGATGAATAACGTCATGCAGAACGATTTACACCATACGAAGAGCCTCTTGATATATTGTCAAATTTTATGTTTACCTCAAGGTACAACTTCGACTACAACACAAACTACGACAACATCTCAAACTACAACAACATCTCAAACTACGACAACATCACAAACTACGACAACAACAAAAACTACGACTACAACAAAAACTACGACTACAACACAAACTACAACATCATCACAAACTACGACAACATCTCAAACGACGACTACAACAGAGACTACAACAACATCAGAAACCACAGCTGCATTAGAAACTGACTACATAACTAATTTAGATTTTACGACTGCAGGCAATATAGAAAATACAACAATTTGTAAGTATCAGAGTAATCTTAAAATGCAATTCATTTTTCCTTATACATGCATAGCTGCTAGCTGAAGTTAAAGATGAATCCTATATGACGACAATTTTTATAGCTATTCAATTATTTATTTTGGATTATTTTCTATATCTACAAAACATAGTTTTCTTTAAGTTCAATAAAATACTCATTATTATATTTTGATCAATAAGCAACTGTTAAATTTTTTCTTTCGTTTAGAAAACAACACCAGTATTGTCTGTAAATCTTTTTCATAACAAAAATATAATTTCAATGGATTGTTGTTCATTTATATTTAGCGATCAAAAACAAGTTTTATGGATTTTTTTCAAATACTTTCACGTTTTCAAACCGCAAGAAATAGAATAAACATTCTTTTTATGTCTTAACCGGTCTATTTTTGTATCGTTTTTTAAATGGAAAATGTGAATAAAATAAAAATTCGGAAATGTCACATACATGATTTCCTCGAAAATATATTCAAATGTGCAAAAAATACGTTGAATGTGTAACAAGGTTTATTTTACAATAGTCAAAAAAAAAATCTTTCCTATCTGTATTCATACATGTTTACGTACGCTTTTTAATAGTGAAAACTGCATTTCTATCTCGTATTTCTCTCAATCGCTACTAGACAGATACTGTTTGAATCACTCAATAAAATATAATTGATCGCATATTTTTATCTTTTATAAACCAATCTAAAAAATGATTAAAGAAGTTTTATAATCGAGATACTGGCTTAGATAAGTTGCATGTCTAAAAATCCTATCGAGAATCATTTTTCATATCGATCATAGCACATGTCACTGATGAATATCTAAGGCAAGGTAAACTTTTTTGTTCTGTCGTTTTCGTCATAAAGTGACAACTATAGTAAGGAAATATTGCTACTCACAGCTGACTCTGCACTATCCAATCATTTATTTTTGCTACCTTTCAAGTTCTCTTTCTTGTAAGGATCGAATGCATACCTGTTCGACATTTTGATTTCAAATATCGAAAGTAAATGGTATGTCTATCGTTGCCGTGAAAATAAAAACATGTTAAATTCAATGTTGGATGATCTCTCGAAAACGTCGAAGTCCCGTCCGCTCGGTGATGTTTTACATATATTTATTTTCTTAATAATAAGTAAAATCTTACGAACATTTGCAGTATTTATAGCGTATGATTTATTGAAATCATTTCATTTTTTATTAATTCTTTTTCTTACAACATTAATTGCTGCCGTGTGTTTATTATTTATACAAAAACCTTTTGCATCGATCCGATTAACTAAACCGGTACTTTTTCGACTGATTAAATATACAACATGTCTTACTATAGTTCGAGTTTTATGGATATTTGGATTAACATTATGTGGACCATTGAGAACAATATTACTATTTGAACATAGTGATTTTGTTTTACTTGCATGTTTTCAAGTCTTATTTTCATCGTCATCATCGAATGTAACTGGTGTAACACAACAAACTCAAACATCACGAATACGTGGCGCTGTTTTTTTCCTATTAGCTGTTTTAGCCATATTTGCATTTGATAATGACGATGCACGACAACGAGTAAGATATTCGTGAATAAATTTATTTATTTTCCTATGCCGTTTTCTCCCTCTCTCTCTGCTAATATAGATATTAGACCATCCTGAAGGCCATGCACATCATCATTTATTCACTCATGTTTTTTATCTATTAACTTCATTTATTGGTGTTGCTGATCATAAAGGCGGTGTTATTCTATTAATTATTGCCGTATGTATACGATGTGCAATTGATTCTTTAAGTAAAAAATTGGTAGTTGATGTGGGTGGACCGAAGAAATTTCATGCGATATCAACATGTCTATCAGCAGCATGTCTTATACCTACATCATTTATAATGTTATTAATTAATAATATTTTTGTAAGAAAATTTCAAAATAATTTTTTTTTTGAACGATTTCATTTTATTTATTTCAGCCGGAATCAATCGATTCGGCAAGTTCTTCAATTCAAACGACGTTGCCATCATCAACATCGTTGCCATTTTTCGACACCATCCTATCATCAATTATTCCACTAATAGTTATTAGTATATTATTGTTTGTTTCTGATTTTTATACTGAACAAATAGCTATTGCTAAACTTGAACGTTTACGGACATTTCGAGTTAGTATATTTACTATGATTGGTGGTGCATTAATTGCATCATTTCTATGGACAAAATCCTCAACGTTAATTAGTCATAATCCAGTATGGTTTGGTAGAAGTACAGAAAAGACTGAACCGGAAGAACATGCACTATCAGGTGGTGTTGTATTTTCTGTCGTTATGTTTATTTTTGCAACTGATCTTTTATCAAGTCCAATTAAGCGGCAATCAGGTACATTTATTGGTTACGGTCCAGATGGTTTACCGTTATTTAATTTAACACACCAACGATCACAATCATTCGTACTTATTTTACAATCAAGTTTGAGAGCTATTCTTGCTGAATCGGACTCAAGAAGAATCTTTTATTTTCTTTGTATTAATCTCGTAAGTGAACTTGGACGAACGAGATTTTTGTAGAACTACATCGTATTTTTAATTTTTTGTAAAAGATGTTTACATTCGTTGAACTCCTGTATGGTGCTTGGACGAATTCACTTGGTTTGATTAGTGATGGTTTTCATATGTTGTTTGATTGTACAGCACTTGTCGTTGGTCTTTATGCAGCTCTCATGTCACGTTGGAAACCTACACGAGTATTTTCCTATGGGTACGGCCGAGCAGAAGTTCTATCGGGTTTTGTTAATGGTTTATTTCTTGTTGTTGTGGCATTTTTTGTCTTCTATGAAGCTATCGGTCGTCTTATTGATCCTCCAGAAATAAATACAAACCGTTTATTAGCTGTTTCTGTAGCAGGATTTGCTGTTAATATGGTTGGTATTTTTTCATTCAGTCATGCTCATGCACTCGCTCATGGTGGTGGTAGTTGTGCAATGAGTCAAACAACTGCAACTAAAGATCAACACCATCATGACCATTCTCACTCACATGGTGCTGCTCATGATCATGGGCATTCACATGGTGCTGCTCACGATCATGGGCATTCACATGAAGATGTTCATGGTCATGGAGATTCACATAAAGCAATTGAAAGTACAAGTCATCATGGACATAGCCATTCCCTAACGGGCAATGCTAATATGAAAGGCAACTCGAAATAATTTTTCGATTTTAATATAGTCGAAAAGGAATGATTGAACATTTTGTTTTCATTTAGGTGTTTTTCTTCACGTATTGGCTGATACGTTGGGTAGTGTGAGTATCTTGTAAACATGCGGAAAAAAGCGTTTTCTATTTATTCTTTTTTTGTAGGTTGGCGTAATTATCTCATCGTTACTTATTCAATATTTTGGTTGGTATATATCGGATCCCATATGTTCATTATTCATTTCAATAATGATATTTCTCTCTGTCCTTCCACTTCTAAAAGATAGTGCAATGACACTTCTTTTACAAACTCCAACAGATATCCTATATGAAACTCTTGATCGTATAATGAAACTTGATAAAGTTCTATCGTATTCTGATGAACATTTTTGGAAGCTTTCATCGTCGACTACTGTTGGGACGATTCATATTCAAATTTCAAAAGATGGTGATGAACAAAGTATTATTTCTCAAGTTTGTTCTTTTTCTGTTGTTATGGCCTCACCAATGTTTAGTTGATCTTATTTAGGTCCAGACTATTTTGAAGGAAGCTCAAATTCATAATGTAGCTGTTCAAGTAGAAAAACATGTCTTTTTTGATCATTTAACTACGCTGAATTCAGCTCTCGGGCAGTTACCTACGTCTCACAGAATATTTTTTAATTAATTGAAAAATGATTTTATTTTGTTCATCTTCTTTTTACATTCCAACGAGACTTCTTCATTGACTTAATATTGTATTTTCATGACAACATTTATGTCAATGAAAAGTGATTCATCTCTTTTATTTTTATTTTCACTCAACTTTCAAAGAAAAAAATAATAATCTCCGAACGTATTGATAATTTTACTAACATTTTCAATTTTTTTAATTTTAGCTGTTTTTTGTCTATCGAGAAACATGCTTTCTTGCACATTTCTTTTGTTATATAAATAAATGAAGAATATGTCGAATGTTCTGTTAAATAAAATTCTATAATCACTTATGATTACATGAAATGCTACACTATTTATACTTGATGCTTGTCACCACCAATTAAAACGCTGTGAAACTCATTTAGAAAAATGCTGAATGATTGTTTTTAGATATGTGACCTGGGAATATGAAATGCACTTCTGAAATATGAATAGAAAAGTTTTATCATTGATTTATAAGCTGAAAAATTTGGAAATTATAATTAGAGGCACGACAGTGCAACGTATACGTTTTCATAAGCAGCATGAGATTTTTATCTGACAATTCGTTCGTTCCAAAAGCTAAGAACGATTTTCTGCTTGAAACATAATTATTTTTGTTTTGGATAAACTGAGGAATCCTTTTCGCGTGTTGTCTGTTATTGGATTACACATCTCGCGATTGTTTTCTGTTTGTAAACGCATGTCAAGATAAATGTCACCATAGTCTGATGTTTTGATACTTCTGTTTTGCAAATAGAACAGCAATTTAATTAGAACATTCGGGGTTTTTCTTCGACTAGTTTTAGATAAGGTTTCGTCATGCACAGCATAATAACATTAGAGAAAGACTTAGAAAAAAATTAATTGACATTCGATCCAATGAATAGATAGTGAAGTTGTTTTGACCGATAAACTGTTTAGAATTTCGTGGATAATATTATCTCTAGATGTACGATCCCAGCTTTGATATGAAATTTCCAGATCCTGCAATGTTCTATTATGATAGATATTTGTAACTGAAATCCTTCATCTTTGATCATTAATTGTATTAAATATTCTTTATATCCTAATGAAACTACTCACAACACTGACCTATTAGCTCGATATTATGCAGCTTTATTGTTGAGTTTTCGAACATATTGATTCTGCCTAATTCATTTTTTGAATAGTCAATTTCTCTCATAACAAAAATAAAAAATGCAACAAGCTGTGAACAAATGTAAGCAAATTCATCGTGCTAGACATACGAGTAAAGCTATGAAATTAATTACAAATTTTAATAGTAAACGTCGATAGCACTCTCAACAAGATGCAGGTAATAGCATATTAAAAGCATGGGTTCTTTTAAGTTTTAGCTTGAAAAAGAGTATAATTATCAAATGTATAGCTCTTCAGAATCATAGAGCGATCATAGCAGACTTATTACAAGCAAACAATCCACTTACATACAAGCCTTGTGGTGCGCTCATAGAATACGAGTTGCAGCACTGTTACTATAAATGACATGAATAGATCAGTTACAGTGTTTGCTGCATTCTAGAATTTCAATCTCAACTGCTACGAAAAAAAAATAATTATCTGAATTGGTAGCCATCATAAAGCAACCATCCTTTCCTATAGGTTTTAACAAGCTTTCTGTTGATATTATTCACGTGCTTTATCTGTACATGACGAAAAGCATTTTGAAAAAGAGACGTATTTCATTAGATGCTGACAATGAACTTAATTGCACTAAAGTCTATAGATACAGTATCAATTAAGTCACAACTCACGATGACTTTGTCATTTCTTCTAATTCACAGCAAAACTAGCTATTAATGTTTAACACTATTATGCAGTCGTGCAAAAGTCGGTGACATAACATTGTACTGCAGGCGAATTGTTTTCCAGGTATACTATCATATTTAGAGTAATGGTATCCCAAGTTACATGATATTTATTTGATAATTTGTATCGAAGCACGTTTTTCAGCGATTGCTATTCTATTGTTCACGCAATAACGCCTTTTTGTCTTGTAATAATGTTACGAGAGATAGTTCTTGCTTTTACTGTTCTACCCTATTAACTATGGTTGTTCTTTTGACATAGGTTTTACTTCTAAAATAGAATTAAATGAAATAATCAATGACATGAAACTGTTAGCTCTACTATGTATAGAATGAAAAGGATATAAAAAGAATGAAAGAGAGATATTAAGAGCGACAGAGACAAGCAGCGTCACTAATGTTATGTGACAGAACGAAGAAAAAGTGAACTTAGTGGAACTAGAACCCACACCTTCCGCTATCCGGGCAAATGTCCTAACCAGTTAGACTAGAAGAGCATCTTGATCTTCGTTTAGCGTTAGTAAGTTAAATCACGAATGCTAACAGAAACACAATGTACAGTTGTGCCGCAATGCCATAAGCATACAACACGGGAGAGAAAACTGATTCACCTTTCTTTGTATTTTTGTGGAAATAGTTTTAGCTGTGAGTTCATTAGACGAATGATAATTATCTTACAATTGCTGTTCATAATAATAAAAATACATCCTGAATGAAATGTTTCTAGACAGACCGACCATCAATTGTTCATCATGTGAATATATTTCTTTTTTCTGATATTCAATAAACAAATTTTAACCGATTCTATTTTATTCTCGAGTTCGAAAGGTATAACGACAAGTAAATACTATTGTTGTTCTTCTTACAATAGTACTGTTCATCAAACGTTTTCTTTGTCAAACTACAGTGCTTCTATTTTCATAGTTTTTTACGAGGAAAATACACAAGACATGAAAAATAGAGGTTTTCTCTTCATCACTTCTATTTATTCTTTCTTTACTACTAAGGTTCTAATAGCACGATGAATGCATCGGTAAATACATATGAGTGCATGGAAAAACTATTCATCAAAGTCATTATTTTAGTTATTGCGAATAATAAGCATAAGGGATTAGAGAAAGAAAATATCACTTCTCTGTCGATAATTTAGTAAGTTTAAAAAAAATTTGATGTGTCAATATTTAGACAAAGGCTGACTATTTTCCGAAATATGTTATCGACCTTCTTTAATAGTATGCATTTCATTTCTTTGGTAATATCCAACAATAACAGCCGCTTATACAAAACCAGGCATTGAATGTACAATGAAATTCAATATAATTATTAGAGCGGAGCGTTATGTTTCATTTTTCTTTAATTAGAGGCATTCTGTAATCCTGTAGAACATTGCCGTGAGAGACACAAAGTAGCATGTAATCCTTAATCTTTTTTCATCACGTTTCCTTACACGTGGACAACCTTTTCCGAGAGCAATTCGTTCTATTTTCAAATAATGTTTTACAAGAGAGTAGAAGTTCAATTAAAAATATTGTTTTGAATTTATGAATTCAATATGAAGCATAAGCACTGAAGTTATTCCATGAGTAAATAATTTTTTTTATTACGCACGTTTTATACGCTATAGAAATTCATGTTTCTTACTAGATAATATTGAGTATTTAAAATAAAAGTAGCAATTAATTTCAAGTGTAATTCATATTTCCTTTCTCATGAAATTAACTAACATAGTCGATACTTAGTTTTCAGTAGATCCAATATGATGAATTGTAGTAAAAATTCAATTTACAATATCTATGAAAAATATAAGAGAAAATAAAATAGTACGCATCAATCGTGCCAGTAACAATAATGAGTCTAGTTCTATTTGTAGACAAGAATAGTTTCAATATTTTAAGAGAACTATGACATTAATTAACTGCTCAAATCAGTCAGCGTAATAATTTGAAAAGATCTCTATGTTGTTTAAAAGTAGAAAATATTTATTACAAAACGGGAAACTTGTCAGCTAACGCTTAAGATCACAGTTCAGTGCATCATAGTTTAACAAAGATTGAAAAATAGAAAAAAGTTTGTTCTTGACGTAAACTAAATGAGAAAGTCGCTAATATTGATTGGTTGATTTAATGATTCATTTCATCGGATTATCAATATAAGTAATCTTTGTTCTTGAATGTCAGTCAAGACTAATTAGATTGCTATGAGATCAATGAGGTCAAACAAAATTTTCTTCTATCAAACATCTTTTGCATGTTTCACTCGCTTCAATGATCAAACATAAAACTATTTTATGTCAATTTATTCTTGTTCGTCAAACGCAATCCGCCGGTAAACTCACTCTTCTTTATCTACCAAAAATAATTTAAACTAATAGGTAATTTGTTTTTATTTCGTTCGCTGAAAAATATACAACAAAATCATAGTAGAAACACACGTATCTGAATGACACCAAAAAACACCTATGAGAACAAATAATAATCACTAAATTGATATTAAATAAACGCCGAGCTACAGCCGTGTAAAAATATTACTTGTCAAGCTCAAGTATTCGAATATTTTTCTTGCATAATTCATTAAGCTTTGATATGGAATTAGTAGTCTATAGAAAAATAAAAGTAAGCATTGCCATAGAATTGATAGGATTCAATTTACCTGAAGAATCTCATCAAATACTGTTTTTGCTTCATCTTCAGTTCGTGTTGAACACAATTGAATGTAAAGTGCATACATATAGCAATATTTAATGAGATGTACACTTTCTGCATCAATCAAGTTTTCATCTGGTAAACAAAGAACTATAGGAATGATAAGACTGTGTTCAACGGGTGTTAAATTTAATTGATGAAGACGTTCAGAGAATTTGTGTAACGCATCGGTGGTCTCGTTCCCAATGAGTTGCGTCATAAAATAACGATTCAAGTGTAGACCATTCGTCGTTATTATGTAAGATTCGTTTTGGTAAAATAATGGATAATAAATTATCTAAAAATGATTCCATCGATTCAATGAAATAAAAATCAATTTTTTCAATATTTCAAATTTACCGTCCAAAATTCAAATGTTCGATTATACAAAATATGCTTGAAATCTTTGTCATTCAATTCATGAAGGCCCGGTATCTGGAAATAAAATAGTAAATGTTTTTAATAGCTTTCATCAGTACAACTTGCATTGAAAAAAAAATATGAATCTATTTATTGCGACTTTTAATTTAGAAGAATTTTTCAAAACAAAAAAACTAATGAATAATTAATATTTTTAGCTAGAACAAAAAATTCACATGTCATTTTAAATTTGCTTCGAGTTAACTAAAGGAGACATTCTGTTCGTGTCACATAATCTGCTCAAGACCTTCTGTATACTTGAGAATATTCGGAAAAAAGAGCGCTCTAAGTACGTATTCGTAGTATATCATAAAAGTCGGCCATCTTTTGGTACAAAATAGCAGAATTCAAAATAAACTAGGCTTGCAACTATTGAAAATACAAACGACGCAAAAGATGCGGAAAAAAAAAGATTTTTTTTCCCGCAAAATAAGCAACACCACAAAAGCTCTAATCTTTTATTTAAAGTAAAATCATGAACCAGTTTTCTCTTTTGCGTGTGGGGAAAATTTTGATTATAGTTCTATTTCATTTAGTTTATTGCTTTTGAAACTTGACTCGTATTGATTTTCTTTCATTATATATGCCATGGGTTAGTAATTACAAAAAGAAAATGTTTCCGACAAGGCGGCACTATTTTTCTCTATCACAAGGATCTCAAAATGATAGTTCGCAGAAAACAATGAACTACAAGCTTTTAATAACGGGAAAACTTTAGAAAAAAACAACTCGATCGACACATATCAAAACGAATTTCTTTACTGATTCGAATAAATCAAGAGAGATTTTCTTACATCTTTAGCAAAATCAAATAATTGAGCGATGTCTATTGGCATAACAGCTTGATCATCTATCCACATTTGTTCGATGGTTACATTATGGTTGGAATAATTAGATATCTTAAAGCAACAAGAGAATACATAATTATATGAAAACGTTTTGTTTTGTCTAATTCTATTTACTTACACCAAAATTAATATGGTCAAACATCTTTTCTATAAGAATCTGTAATTGTTTTGTGTGGTGTGAATAAAAGTTAAACATTTTCCAACGTATATAACGAAAAAAAGTTGTTACTTCAAAATCAAGTTCAAACACAAGGAATGGCTGACAAAGTTTGAGTGCTAGATATTTCATTGCTTGCAAATGTTGGTTTGAATAACGTAGTTCACAACTAAATGTATCGTCCGTTAACGTGTTTTGGTTGAGGTTCAACATGGTTATTCTATCATCATTTTGTAAATTCTCCAGTGAACGATCATCGTACGTGTTATTGTTTAATTGAATTCTTTGATGTAATAGGTTCGTGGAATTTTGTGATCGCCCATTGGAATATGTGTCTGCCAATGTATGGGATTCATAGAAAACACTTGGCAATTGAAGTGAAGATAGTTTATCATCGATTTGATTTGTTTGAATATTCGATGATGATATTGCCGAGTCAAACAAATCCGATATGGAAAATGATTGTTCTGTACTGCTCGTTGTTGCTGAATAAAAATATTTGTATTAAATTTAATATTCAAAAGTAAATGTCTTTTTTTTACAATCAAAGAACTTTCATGCCACTACTTCTTAGATTAGTGATATTAAGAAAGTTAATTAGTAAATTAGAATAAAGAATATTATTTACTTTGTGATTCAATACCAATTTCTTGATTGGAATCATTAGATTGCTGTAAACTCACACTTGACGTAGTTGGCGATGAAACCGATGATAGCGACGATATCGAGTCGCCTAATAAATGCGGGAAATTGTAATTATCCATTTCAAAACTAGTGAAACAATCATCGTAATATAATGCATGATTTTGACTATCGTCTAACGGCTGTTGGTCGTATTGACAAATTTTATCTTGTTGTGCATAATAATCTTTCAATACTTTTTCTTTAACTTTCTTTGGTATTCGTCCCATTTTAACACTTTCCATTGACATACCTTGTTGAAGGCATTGCTTAAATCGACATGCCTTACAACGATTTCGTGTTTCCATATTAATGATACATTTATTGCCAAAAAAACATCGGTACGGTAAATCTTGTGTTATACTTCGTTTAAAGAATCCCTTCAAGAAGAAAACGACCTGTTTATTCTATGCAGAAGTTTCAGAAAGGAAACTAACTTTACACCCTTCACATGTGATAACACCATAGTGAACGCCAGTAGCTGCATCTTGGCAAATTCGACTAAACAGAGTGGAAAAGGGCTTATAGAGTACTATATCAGTTAGATAAAGTAGAAGCGATGCAACGCGACTTTTGTGATAACCAGAGCATCAATCATATATTAGGATGATTTTTGCATGTTATGCTCGTTTTTGTATGAACAGAAAAATCATTACAAGAAATGTTTACTTCGAGTCACTCGGCAATAACTAACTTACCATTTTCCAAATGGGAATGTTGCTGCTTTTTTCTCGCGGCTTTTATTCGCATTTATTATCATTTGATGATGTTGTATTGATAGAGTTTGATTGTATTGTTCTTGTTCGATTTTTTCTTGCCTTGACTCACAGAAACGCATCGAGAAACCAGTTTGAAATGTATAGTATGGGAAGAATTCGTTCGAAGCGTCAGCTGCTACGTTCATACTTTTATTGTTATAGCACACTCGAAATATTTCTGAAAGTAGAAACGAAAAAGAGTCTTTTAACGTACCAGAACAAGTACTCGATGCTCTCTGTATCGCAGCAGAGAGTAGCTTGTGAAAAACAAGCATGTCGCTTCTCTCTTGCGTCCTTTTATGTAACGAGCATTCATGGGAGATTTCAGTAAGTCACGCACAGAACACAGAAAAATGAGAAAAAGGGAAAAAACATTCTGATAAACTGAAACGTACCGCTCCTTTTCTCTCTCTTTTTTCATTTCCTTTCTACTCAATATTTCTTTTCGCACATGCCGCAAAAGAGACTGACGTCAGACATGCATAGTATACCGAATAAAAAACAAACATTGAAATAAACTAGTAGCTAATAATCAAGAGTGATAAATGCGTTCTCGTATTGAATGACGCACTCCAAAATTCTGTCCAAAAAGTTTAAACCAGTAGTGCATTGATTGGTGAACCATAGATGATTTACACATAGGATAACAAAATTCTAAATGCAAAGTCAAATTGTGTTTTAGTGAAATATCACAGAATAAAATCAATTCAAAAGAATATTCGCCATTTTGTCTCGTCGTAGTCATAACTATTTAAAATATGCCTGATGTAGTATCAACAGCATCGTATGGTCACATTCACGTTTTTTCTTGTATTAAATTAAACTAATTTGTGAAAAACCAGACTGATTACTGCTTTTTTGTGTACTCAAAAAGTGAGTACACTCTAGACTCGGTCAGTGTGTCCGGCCGTCAGCACGATAACTCTTGAAAGCCTCATCCGATTGTCTTGAAATTTTGTACCCAGAATGATCTCATCAGTATCTCAGTTGAGTTCGAAGATGAGAAGGATCCATCAAGAAATGGGTGAGTTATCGAAAAAACTGTCATTATTGGCCAGACCATCCCTGAGGGGGTACAGGGATTTTTTCAGAATTACTCAAAACGTATATAAATCGGCTCATTTTTTGCAGTACACGTAACAATCGGATGCGAATCCGATGTTTCTTCATTTATTTTAAAAATCTCATCAGTTTCCCATTGGTTTTGAAACATAAAACTAAATATTTTCTTAAAATAACAAACGATAGATGTTGGCTCACGACATTCATTGGTAAATAAAACAATGAATGTTTTTTCATTGATAATCTCATGAATATATATGACTTTTCGTTCATTTTTTTTGTTCTTGGGAAGAGACTGACAATATTACTTATTGTTTCAAACACCACGTCTCATAGAAAGCATTTGTATTCTATATACTCTAAAGAGAACTATTATTTCTTCGAAGGAACAAAAACTAATTCCCATTTCTTCTGTAACAATAGATAATTAATATTTTTAACAGTCTGCTATTCTTTCTAAACACATTTGTCATCTCGTTTGATGAATTTGTCATATCTGTGCTATTTGATTAATTAATTCTGTTCTGCGATGATATTATTTAAGTTACTTACAGATAGTTCAATATTAAGTCAATCTAGATTTCGACCATTGAAAATTACAAGATCACACTTTAGTCTTTATTATCCTCATTTTTTTGCAAATTTAGAGAGTACGGATGACCAATGCTATTAAAATAAAATCTTTTGACATGCTTCAACATTATTAATGCTTTTTTTTTGACAGAATAAAAATATCATAGAAAGTTTCAAAGAATGTTATGTGGATACCAGAGACGTGCACAGGACAAGACTTTTTGTTCTGTCCTTACCTGTCCTGCTGGCTATTTTGGTCCTGGCGGGCGTCAGGGCAGGACAAAAATTGAAATCTCATTCTGTCCTCCAGGACAGGGCAGGACAGGACACCAGGACACCAGGACAGCAGGACCGCCCTGTCCTGTGCACGTCTCTGGTGGATACAATCAGAGGATGCTTTTTAATTCTTCTTGAGTTCTTTGTAAACGTACATCTAAACAGTTAATATTAGATCGTGAGACATAAGTTCTCAGAGTGATCTCGGTTTGCAATTTTTTATATGTAACTAGGATTTTTCATAAGTATCTGCAGCAGCAAATTTTCTATGCGGACTTATCCATAATTGTTTGAGCTCGAACTTAATTCCTGCTATTTCAATAAGAATTATAATCGAACACCTACTCGAACAATTCACATTTATTTACATTCAAAGGACGTCTTTATCGAATAAATCAAATAGCTTAACAATTAGATAGATCGATATCATTGAATCTATCTTTTAAAAAAAGACTAATAGAGCCTGGCGTCCTAATTCTGCCGGAAAACAAAAAAACATCTTTTGTATTTTTTGTATAACTCAAGTTGTATACATCTTAGAGAATTAATTTTTTGTTTCCGGAATAGCCCAAACATTTCTCTATCGAATGACATAAAATTTGTTAAAAAATAATTTACCGGTAATTCACAAGTAGCGTGAAAATAGAGGAGGGGTCGAATTTAGTTGAATTTTCATGTGTTCCTTATTCAGCCGCCCCATGTATTTTTTTTTCCTAATTCTGCCGCTTGCATTGAGAATGGAAGAAAATTTTAGAAAAAGTCCATTATTTTTNAAATTCGACCCCTCCTCTATTTTCACGCTACTTGTGAATTACCGGTAAATTATTTTTTAACAAATTTTATGTCAGTCGATAGAGAAATGTTTGGGGTATTCCGGAAACAAAAAATTAATTCTCTAAGATGTATACAACACCAGACTCTAGTATAGAACAATGAAAACAATTGTTTGTAAAAAATGTAATGTATCATATAAATACAGGAATTTTTGATAACAAGATATAACGAGTTGATGAAATTTGCGCAATTATTTTTAACTAACACAATGAACAGTTTTTAGAAGATAAGAGAATTAGCTAGTCAGAAAATTTTCGTTTCATCCGTTGGAAACAATTTTCTTGTGAACATTTTAATATTGCAAATGATCTTACAAGAATATAAATAATTAACAAAGAGATTCTAAATAAATAATGTTTTCTAGTTGAAATACAATAAATAACAATGACGAGCTTAGAAATTCTTATTCGGTACAACATTCTGTTTGATTATCTGCTATTGTTATCAGAAGTATGTGTCTAATTTTGTTGTTGGTTAAAAGAATTCAATCAAAAAAAGTCTTTACATGGAAAGAGACATTTAAAACCAATATTTTTTTATTTGTTAACAAATGTAGAAAAACTAAAGTCTAGTCTTTTTTTATGAAATGAAAATTTTAATTAGCGAAAAATTATATTGAAAAAAATGTTTTTATTCAACAATCATTTGAAAATCATACAGTACACATTCAACATTAAAAAAAACTGCATTTATTCTATATCAATCAATATTGATTCTTTTTTAAATATTCTGATTGTTTCATAATCAAAGCACTAAAAAAAGAACAAAACGATATGTGCATATGACAATTACAATTGAAACAAAGTAAAAACAAAACGGTGAATTGAATGGATAATACTATGATTCATCTTTGCTCTAAAATAAAATAAAGGCGAAGATTTGAAATAGTTAAATTCAAATTCATTGACTTACGAGAGAAATCATTAATGGTCGTGCCGTTGATGTTGGCCTTCTGGTACTACTGTTCGTTGTTAGAATGGATTCACTGGCACTAACCATACTCGTAGTTGAATCAAACGAAGCGGTTTGCCGATTTGAATTTGAATGTCGTAAAATAGCTTTTGTTGTGGTGGTGGTGGTGACTGTTGTTGTTGTATCTTTCGAAACATTTCGCAATAGATCCGGCATATCAATAGATTTGGATTTGTTTATTGGAAGACGTTGTGGATCATCATTTGGAACATCTAATTGACTAGTTCCTTTTTTACTTTGATCATCTTGGCTGATGTCTCTAGAAGTAGCATTGGACGTACTTGATTCAATTGTCACACGTTTAGGTTTTGCTGGTCGATCCGAAGGTGTTGCTTCAAATTTATGAATGAGATCTTTCAAGCCCGATGCTCGTCTCACCAATGTTGAACCACTTGTGGTGGGTTCTGAAGTTGGAGTTGGATTTGAATTAACTCCTTTGCGGCTTGTAGTATTTGGTGATGATTTAGACGTTGTTTTTCTTAGTTCAACTAATCGGCCTCGTTGTTTGGGTTGAGTAGGAGCAGGTGGCAGCACTTTTCCACGAGTTTCTTTCGGTGGCAATGTTGCAGATGGGACTGGCGATACAAGTACTTTTTCAGATGGTGCGGGTGACTGCGGAGACGGAGATGGCTCCTGTTCCGGAATAATAGCATCTTTTGAACGAAAACGAAATGGTGAACGATGTCTTAAGGCTTTTAATATGCCTTTGGATGGTCGATTTCCGTGTAGATCAGATTTTCTTGCTGTTCGTTCTTTGGTTTCTAAGTCAATATCTTCGTCAAGAAAATGAACTGTTGCTGGTTGTGCTGCTGCTTCTGATTCTGATTCTTTATCGGGTGATTGTGCACGAAAACGAAAACGACGGCTCAATGAAAAAAATCGATTTTTCGATGAACCCATTCCATTTCCATTGGTGGTTGCTGTTACTGAATTTGACATCAATTCAGGTATTATAGCATCATCTGTTGATGTTGGTAAATGTTCATGACTACTATTTGTATTGGCATCTAGACGAGAACGACGTTGATTTGTGGTCGACAGTGCCGTATGGACATTTTCAGGTGGAGCAGAAGCTAATCGTGTGTAACTTGGTGGAGCAATAGCAGAATTTGAAATATTGCTAAAACTATCATCACGAACTATCGATGCGCTTTTTTCAGATTTCCTATAAGAAATACAAAATAAAAATATACTATAAAAATGATCGTACAATCTTAATAATATTATTTAGTATCATAAATCAGTCTAATATTGAATCTTCACTGCTTACCGAAAGGATCTCTTTCGTATTTTTTCGTGTAAAGTGAATATATACATCTTCACACAAACAAAATTTCTCAGCTATTTTTGTTTATCGATACCAATAATTTTTTTCCGATGCCTGAAAACTATATATCATCTGGATTCATGTGACTAGATGAATGAAAATATTGTTTATTTATCTCCGGATACATACGGTGAGATCGAACAGGAAGATCACTATTATTAGCTATATGTTTTTTCTTCTGCTTCTTCTGTATTTTGTTTTGCTTCTCAAGTCCTACATAACGTTTGTATGCAAGCACCGACGACAATAACAAGAAAATTCAGTGGCATGCGTACATCTCATGAGAGACAGAATAGAACGAATAGTAATTATCACCGATCCTACTGATAGAATGATCTATCGATAGAAAAGATCGTGTCACTCACGGTTTTTTTTCTCATCTTTTACTGATAAAATGTCATAAGAATAAGCAATGCTTTTTGTTCTTATGTTTGCTTGAATTCATATGAAAAAGGAAATGACACATCATTTCATTTATACTTACGCTCGAATGAAATCCATAAAACGACGATATGAAAATAAATTATCTTCAACGCGATCGATTTTACTTGCAATCTAATAAAAATATTCAAATCAATTATTAATCGTTTGTTTTTCTAACAATCCATTCAACAAACCTCTTCAATACTGGCTGCCGTATTTTCTTGTGCCGAATAAGTTTTAGTGAACATTCTTTGTTTATCATTATCATGTGTTGACATCTGTAATGCAATTGAATCATCCATCGCGCCGACTATGTCATGAGCATTGATACCTCCTCCATCAATAGTTCCATGGGGAAGTTCAATATCGTCACCTAATGTTTCACGACTGAAATTTGATAAACTTGTTTTCGTTGTGCCTTCATTTTGAAAACTATTTATTGACAATGGACCAACACTTAAATCACGCACGAGACGATTATTATTCTCACTGCCAGATTTTATCTATAGGAAGAAAAAAAACAATTTTTATTTTTACAATATACTATTGATATATATATAGAGATAGAGAGATAGAGAGATAGAGAGAGAGAGAGAGAGAGAGATGTGTATAGGCCGATGATGACGTCTGAAAGTTGTTGGAGAAAGTAGTATTGCATAAAGGAAAATATATCAAAGAAAATTTGGTCCCAATAGTCAATATTTTTCTATTCTTTTTTCAAACACTGGTGGTTTAGTCGACTGGGTTGAACCTCTCTCTATCCATAGATGAATATAACTAAGTTGAGAATTGTTCGAGCATATACTATAACTAATTTTATTCTTTTCAGTAGATATATTCCACTTGTTTTGCATAATAATGAGAAAAACAATCGAGCACATTCTACTTATTATCGTCTATTGCATTTTAAGTACGGAAAGCCGAGTAGGATGAGGAAAGGTTATTGAAATAATAAATTTCTATTTGAACTCTAATATTCATAGATTTTACTATGGCAAAGATTAAAAGTCGACATGAAATTCATGCTTTATCTTCTTCATAGAGTATTGCTTTGCGTACAGATTCCGGGAAGCTCTAGGCATTTGAGAAATGTGTAATTATCGAATAATAGAACCGGAAAAAGTACCTTGTGCATCCTCAGGGTGAGTATCTAGAAAATATCATTGCGAGTATATAAATATGACTCTACTAGGCCTGGAAGTTTTAGATTCAACGAACGGTTTTTCTATGTTTTCTTTGACACGAAAAATATGTAAGAACGTGTTCCTTTAGAAATTTCTTTAAAGAAAGGATCAGGACTTTTCTTTTCTTTAATTTTCAGTGTGGATATTTTTAGCAGATATTAATATATACAATGGATCGGATGGCGAAAGTATTTTACTCTTCTAATTTCCTATAGACATTCTTATGCGTGAGTTGTTCGAACTAGAGAATCAACTTACATGTTTTTGTAATCGATCGAATTTGTGTAAGATTGCTTCTTTAACATGATGCTGTTGTCTTAATTGTGCATATAAATCACTTTGTTGTTTTCTCCAATAATTCCAATCGGATGAATTTTTATCACGCAAACGATGCATTTCTGTTTTCAATAAATGAACATCGTCAACAACAATTTCTAGTTCTCTGATTTTAGTTAATAATAATTCATTTTCTGTCATTAAAACATTTATTTTCTCGGTTAAATGTATAGGTACTTCACGGTTACTGATTTGTTTTTGTAAATCTTTAATTAATTGTTGAGATTGTTGAAGTTGCTTTTGTAAATCAGTTCGTTCTTTTTTCCATGTAGTTTCGAGTTCTTTTCGTTGACGTTTAGTTACTTTCGATAATTGTTCTTCTAACTATTAAAATCATAAAAATTTCTTTGTTTGTTTTATTTGAAATTTTCATATTCTCTTACTTCATTTATCTTTCCGGACAATTCAATTCGTTGTGTTTCCCATTGTTGTTTATCGATATTGTATTTATTTTGTTTTTCTTGGCCATAAAGTTCAAGATCATATAATTTTTGACGAAGACGATCAACAGCATTCTGTAATTCAGATTTTATTTTAATACTTTCATCGTACTGCAGAAAAAAAGAATGATTTTGTTTTAAAAAATAATAAAAAATAATAATTTTACTTTGCGCTGTTTTTCGGACATTTCTGTTTTAACTCTCATCCATGATTGTTCATCGGCATCATATTTTACTTGTAGATCTTTATATTTCTTTTCAAGATCTTTAGTAAATTTTAACAGTTCATCTTTTTCATAATTTGATTGATTTAAACGAAGTTTATACGATTCAATTTCACCATCGAATATCTGTTGACGACATTCAGCTTTTGCACGTGTTATTTCATCTTCCATAGCTACGGACTTGGGTCGCTCCTAGACAAAACAAAAATTGCTCATTCGATATTTTGAGATAACTGTTGAAGAAAAAAACTTGATATTTCAATCTGTGAATTCAGATACGTCTCGTCATGTACTCATATCATGTGGGGTGAATTTTTAAAATTTTCCTCACATAAATAATCTATTTTGTTTTCGTTTTTGCTACTCTTCCACAATAATTTAAATATTATATTTTATTTTATTGTTTATTGATTTATTAGTATTTATTTACATTTACAATTTTTATTTTAATTTTACAAACGTTTCGAAAGCGTCAGCTTTTTTCGTCAGTGCGCTTAAAACAGAACAAATAGAATAATGATTCGACGAGTGTGTGATGCTATATGTTTTGTTTTTTATTTTCTTATTCTTCTTCTTCTTCTTCTTATGATACTGGTACGGAAGAAGCTACAATATAACCTATCTCGTCCGGTTTACCGTCTTGTTTATTCTTCCGTACCAGTATCATAAGAAGAAGAAGAGGAAGAAAATGAAACGCAAAACATATAGCATCACACACTCGTCGAATCATTATTCTATTTCTTCTGTTTTAAGCGCATTGACGAAAAAAGCTGACGCTTTCGAAACGTTTGTAAAATAAAAATAAAAATTGTAAATGTAAATAAATACTAATGAATCAATAAACAATAAAATAAAATATAATATTTAAATTAATGTGGAAGAGTAGCAAAAACGAAACAAAATTATAATGACCTTCCAATTAACCACAAAATAATAAATAATCTATGTAGAAACCAATAAAATTCGGATTGAGGGCTTTATAAATTTCAAAATTTTCACTTTGCTCAGTCTATATGAATGATATTTATCCAAGGAGAATAATTATGCCTTTCAGTTATCTTATGGTATGTGTGGTTGTCTAATCATGAATCTAATATCGCGGAATTTTTCCCTGAAAGTATCATCTTTTTTTCTATAAAGAATAAAAATAGAATGCCTATGATTCAATATAGATTCTTATGTAGAAAGTTGAATTGCTCATGTACGACTTACATTCTGTTGATTTAATCGTAAAGATTCAAGATCAAATTTTAACATTTCTTTTTCAACATTTAATTTTTCCATTTCTTTAGTCATCGCCATAATTTGCTCTTCTAATTGTTTTCCTAATGTATAATATTTTGTTTCAAGTTCACGTAATTCTAATCGATGTTTTTGGCATTCTTTCACTTTGGTTTCAATAATATCCTCTTTTTCAATAATTTTCATCGATAATTCATTAACACGCGTTTGCTTCTGATCAAGTTTCTTTTCAAATGTTATTATTGATTGACGCAATTGTTCGATATGTCGTAAATCTTGTAATTGTTTAGCATTTAGTGTTGATAAACGTGTATTTTCTTGTTGTAAGTCACCATTGATTTTTTTCTGTTTTTCAAGATTTTTCTCAAGTGTTTGATTTGTTTTTGTATGTTCTTGAAGTTTTTCTTCCAATGTTTTCGATGATATGTGAAGATTATCGATTGTGGTTTGCAATTGATTACAAAGTTGTTTTGTATCTTCTAAATCATGTTTTCTTGTATCAAGTTCTTCTAACAGAGTACATGTATCAACTGCATCATAGGTTAAATTCGTCAGACGATAACGTATTTTATTGAGAGTTTCATTTTTATTTTGTAAAAGAGTTAAAAATTCATTGGCTTGCTGGAAGATTTCGGAAGTTTGCTGGTTGGTTTTGGCGAGTGATGGTGAATTTTCATCATCCTAAATAGGAAATAGAATTTTAAAGATATTATTCGAGAGATAGATTTACTGTTGTCATTACTGAAATAATTTTAAACGACGGAAAAGAAAGGAATGATTTTGCTAACGAGCTATGTTGTTTTTATTGTAACACGCGATAATTATCGTATAGGTTATTTGAAATGTATGAGAATTGTCAATGCTCGTTTATTTGTATGTTTTATAGATTTTAATAAAGAAAATCTCATAGTGCAGAAAATTCATAATAAAGCGTAACGGAAGTGTTTATGCCGTAGAGGTTTCCGAAATGTCGAAAACGTTTACGAGTATCCTAGATAGTAAACTTACCGTAAACGTTTTCTCTTTATTATTTTTTTGTTGTCTTTTTGAAAAAACTCGAGATTTTACTATAATACCGAGTTTGTTTTCAGAGTAGATAGATTGATTTGATGTGAATGTGCCACGATCGTATCGTATAAATCGAACTATCTCATTCATAGATCAGTCTACGTACTCTAGCCTAAGGTTTAAAATATGGAGTACATTTGAATGATGAAATAGCTTAATTAATTCATCAAACTATTACCAACAGTATACATCTATGTCAATCAACCATTAGTGATCTGTCTGTATACTCGAATAGACTGTCGAGTATATTTTTATCATCTTGCAACAGAACATAGTCAATTGTTCGATTGCTTTCTCTCGTGGGACTATCGCCATTCAATCAATCATTTCGACGAGTACAGGCAAAAAAGTCTGTTTCAGTTTGATTTGTCGCTCTCCATTTGCTAAGCGATGAGTATAGAATTACTAATTAACGAGATGAAATGTTTTCTATAGGAAAACTCTTAGAGCCACTATGAAACATTTTTGAGTTCGAGTTAGAAACACAAACATGTTGCTACGAAAATATTGACACAGAGAGAAAACATCTGTTTTGGATTGTTTTTCAAAAACAAGACTTGACCCATGTCGCACAAACCGATCGAAAACCGTCGGTTAACCGCGGTTATTTAAGCCATTTTAGCGACATAACCGATGACTTATTCGGTTAACCGATTTTTATAAAAAGTGACCGCGGTTAACCGACGGTTTTCGATCGGTTTGTGCGACATGGGGAGGTTTCGATACTGTGGGGGATTATTTTTTGTTGCCCACAAGGTCTATCCTCGATTGAAACTCAACCGTTCAGATTCTCAGTGATTTCATGTTCATTAGAAGAAGAAACAGTAGTGAAAATGCGAAAACTTCATCATGATTGGTCCAACGATGAAATGGAATTTCGAACAGCTAGGAATAATAAAGAATATAAAATAACATACGAGATTTTGTTTATTCAATCGAGATGAACGTAATGATTGTTGTAGATCATTAATAATCTTGCCATCTACTTTAGTGTCTTTGATGGATGCTATCAGATTATCTACAAATATCCGCATATATTGATGAAGATTATATACAAGACAATATTTACCAGTTTTATCAGTAAATATACGAAGATCTTCATGTATTGTGTCATCGACACCTTGTTTAGATTGATTATCGAGTTTTACTAAAAGTGTTTCTTTTTCCTATAAAATGAATAAAATTATTTTATTGTTTTTTTTTTGTAAATTTAATTTAATAATCTACCAAAGCTGAACTATTTAATTCATCTTCTAATCGTAAGATTTTATTTTTCAAGAGGCGAACTTCATCGAGCGATGCATCTAATTGTTCACGTAGGTTTCCACCACCATCGACACTCACACCTCGTCGATAACGATTCGGATCTTTCCCACCACTATCTTCATCATCATTACTATTCGAATTCGTTGTTCTATCAACGCTTCGACTGCGTTGTTTTAAAATTTTATTTTGAATACGCAATTGTGACAAGTCACTATCACGATTAATAACATCTTGTTTCAATTGATTTATTTCATCATTGAGCACTGAAATTTTCTGTTGATAGGAATTCATTAAATCTGACACATCGTGTCCATCGGTATCTGTTGAATACTGTTTTTGATTATTTCTCTTGTTTTTCTTGGAATTCAAACATGTTAATTCTTCCATGAGTATATATTCACGAAAAAGTGATTCATATAGATTAATAGATAATTGCCAGGAATGATATTCGTCATTGATTTCCTAGAATAATATCAAAATAAAAGATCGTTGAAGAATAAAGATCAGTGTGCTTTACTGTTGATATTTTTTCATTGAATGATTCTTTCAATGTATCTAAATGTTGTTTAAGTGCAATATTTAGTTTCTCAGTTATCATTCTGGATTCTTCACTTTTCTCTAGTTCACTATGTAATCGTACACTGACTTCTTTTGCAATTAATAATTCTTCATCAAGATCACGAGTTCGATAATTATCACGGGTTAATCGTTGAATTGTATCTGCCAGAAAAAAAAGAACATTGCTAGATTTAATTCCATAAGAGAAATCTATTCTTTCTTTTTCACCTTCTAATGCAGCTTTTTCACACTCCATATTTTCATTTCGTTTTTCAGCTTTACGCAATTTAAATTGAAGAATACGACAATTTTTAGCTAGAGAGAAAATAAAATAAAATTTATCAACCATTTCTATCGATAATGGTAAGTAAACAAACCAGCAATTTCAAGTTCTGCTTGTAGCTGTTTAAATTCTTCGGCATCTTCAGTACGAAATTGATCGGTAATTTCATCCATTTCCTATTAAATATTAGCAAATCATTATTCATTTGAAACTTTTTTATTGCTCGACATGTATCTCATGTATTTTATTTATGGCCTTATCGATCATGCCTGAGGGTAAACTGTCAAAAGAAACGAAGAAAAAGAATATCATATGAGCACTGCTGACAGAAAAACAAGATTTGAAACTGATGATGATGATAATGATTAACTACAATAAATTACGAGAACATATGTTTACTATTATATGAGCGTGATCTTTTGAAACATTTAGAGACATATACACATTGTAAAGAAAAAATAATAAATTTATACCCGTCGTATATCATGAAGTTCTTGTCGGAGGGCATCGTTTTGTTGACGAAGTGCTTCACACACCGTACTAGGACCAGAAGTTGTAGCTGTAGAAGTTTCTAAATAATTATCGAGACACAAAGTAAATTTCAAGGATAATTATTCAATATGCGTATGTATGGATGAATAGAGATAGGATAGGCCTATAATGAAGGAAACATGAAGAATTGTGAGCACACACTGATTTATTTTATTCGCTTTTTTTAAGAGTACTCTATTAGTTTGAAAAGTGTTGACGACCTGTTAGGTAATTTGACCGTTATTGTACAATAATGATAGGTATACCTTAGTGAGCGATAACGAGTTGAATAGCTGTCAACTTTATGCGCATGCATGTGTTCTTCTAACATCAGTTCAAGGTTTTTTATTCTATTACTTAAACCACCTATTGAGAGCAACATTATTATATGTAATAGTCCAAAAAAGAAATCAGTATACAGCTGGTTTTCTCATTATCGTCGTTGCCTGCCTCCATTATGAAGAAAAATGTTGCGTATATATATATATATATATATGTATCAGTCCTTTTCTTCAAACATATTTCCGTGTCGGATCAGCATTTAGACAAATATTAAGTAATAAACAATCAATATTTTGTCATAGCTCTTTGTTATACATCTATCAACAATCGAAACAGTATTTTCATGTATATAGTTCGATGAAACGCAAGATTAATGATGAACAATGAATAAATGTGCGTGTATGTTAGATAAAGACTATCTTGGCAATAAGATGAAAAAAGGTCAAAAGCTGTTCGAGTTACGTGACCAATAAAACTAGCAACACATCATCGATTAATACAATAGATACTCTATTGGTTCTTGAAAAAGTCAAATCAAGCGTATATACATATAAATATATTAAAAAGTATATACATGGATGCAATGGATGAAATTTAAATTCTTACGACGTCTGGTATAACATTAGAAAAGAATGTCTTATGTTGCTACAAGAAAAGTTCATATGCATATTTTTAATTCTGAAGAGAAAGAAAAAAGAAAACAATGCTAGCAGGTAATTTTTTCATTATCATAGATCAATTTCCGCCGTTTCCGGTCTATTTCTTTTTTATCTACTTTTCCTCAAAAAAAAAAAACCGACCAGTTAAAAAGAAAAGCGTGATCTCAATCTCGTCATATTTAATAGCCGATGATATTAAATTTAAAAATATAATTTGAGACGGGTCAACCCTCTTCTATTAATTTTAATTGTCCATCAAGATGAGCGACACTTTCATTATATGTTTATTTCATTCACGCTCACCTTTATCATTATGATGCTGGTTGATTGTCATCGTGTTCTGGTCGTCGCTGATAGCGATAACAATAGCGTCAGTTTTTTTACTACCACCCGATTCTGAAGTAGATGTAACAGCAGCAGCATCAGTAACAGTAATAGCACCAGTAGAATTTCGAATAATCGTTGACATTATTTTAATTTATAAATATGAATGAATGAATGAATGAACGAACGAACGAATTGAAGTAAAATATTACATACGACGATATGATATCAATAGCATCGAAAAACTAATAACTTAGTCGTTGCCCCGCTAATATTATTATTAATAAAGACAAAACTGTTCAATACCGTGTTCGTCTCTTTCTTTTTTTCTCTCTTCTTCTTACTTTTTTTTTCTTTTTCTCTTTCTCTCTGTCTAATAAATTGTATACCCAAAAAAAAACTATAACGACAATGCACCACTACTATGAGAAAGAAGAAGACGAAGAAGAAGAAGAAAAGGAATAATTGTACAATACGTATAAACGTACACACACATCAAATGGCTAGAGCGAAAAAGAAATGCGAGTTCTCTTTTCTTTTCTCACTCTCCTGTCCGTCTTTCTCACTTTGGTGCCAGAATGTGTATAAAGAGGAAAAAGACCATACTCTCTCTAGAGTGTGTGTGTGTGTGTGCGCTCGCGCGCGCTTCTACCGTGTATATAAGAGATAATCAAGTAATGACGGCAAGGGAGGAGAGTATGAGAAAGAAAACGGAAAAAATATGTTTCATACACGCAGGCATATCTATCATGGAAGTTATCAGACCTATTTTCCTTCGTGTTCTTTTCCCAAGCCATTACCAATTACTGTCGACTCTAGACACACGAGATGGTTCCAAGATGACGAAAAGAATCATGCGAGGACACACACGTACATATCAGTCGTCCCATCAGGAATAAGAAATGCGCTAACAATGATTATATCGTCGAGTCTATTCAAGCGGTCAAGGAGTATTATTATTAGTATGTTAGAATCAGATGTTATATTCGTGTTGGCGTGTTGATCAGTTGATGTATCAATGGATTGTCTAACTGAGATATACACATTAGCAGCTTACACATATTCTTATGCTCGGTCAATAGTGCGAAAGATGTTCTCACGATAATAAAAACAGCATTGATATCTTTAGCCAAATAAGGTCTAGGACAAACAGTCATTATATTACTTGTAATGACTCTTATCTTGACATTTAATTTTCAATGAAATCTGCGAACAAAAGAAAATGATAGAAATAGATCGTTGAAAGGCTTTCGGATTATTGATGAGTACTGCATATTGAATTATCGTACTCTTGGGAATGTAATGATATTTGTATTATCAATTATTATTGTCATCGTTTGTGAAAATGATGATACTTCTTCTGTCATCAATGCTTTTCTTATTTTCATACTATTATGATTATTATTATTATTATTATTATTATAAGAGAATCGTTTTTTATACAAACAAAATCAGTTATTATTTTGAATATTATTATTCGAATAAGGCGATAGAACATGTGAACAAATAGGAAAAGAAATGAGAATTGCGTAGATTCTTTTTTAGTTTCTATTTAAATTAATAAAGAGCTTTTTTGTTGTTCAATAAATAATTAATGTATCGAAATGTACCGTTGATAAATACATAATTAAATGCAATATGTTTTAGTTAGGTGAGAAAAGGTTCGAAATCAAAAATGTATGAACATCGATTTGATCAAGTGTCGGACAGATAAGAAATTCGATCACGTTGTAGAGCAAATGTATAATAATATTTGTTTTAAATGTGTTTCATAAAAAATTTTCTTCTTCTTCTTCTAATGGAGAGATCATTGGGATAGGTGTAATTTGTACTTGTCAATACAAGTGCTTTATGAGACAAATTTATAGAGATACTTGTAAGTGCTAATAATAGCTTTGTTGGATGTCATTTGTACTATAAAAAAAAAAGTGGGACGAAGTACGTATGAAACAGTATCGAAATGTATAGATGAATTCTATTTTAAGCAAACGAACATTATTTATTAGAATGAAGCCAATAGAGGCGTGTTTTTATTATTTGCAATTTTCTTTTTTTACTATACGTAGACGATGACATAGCGTACAAGTTCATTGTGTACTAAGCCACCGTTAAAATATAATATTTGATATACTATTGTTATGTTTAGATTGTAATTTTATAATGCATATTTACAAAAGACTATCATTGTCATGATAGGTAATGAAACAAGGCTATAAAAAGCTTATGAAATAAATCAAAGTTTATGAATTGTTTTCAAGTTAATCAATAATTTGTAATGAAATCTTCTTTGCTTTAATGTAGTACAGTCAAATAATAGAACACTGCGTCTCTGTATTCATTTTTTTTCTTGCTTCTTTGATAGAAGTAGATAATTAGAGTTTAGATAAAAGGACAAATCCTTCAATTACATGTTATAGAACGAGCTGTGTATTTTCAATGTTCTAGAAGAGTGCTACTGAAATGTTCGAATGATTACTGCTTGTTACTTAGTAAGACTAGCGAATGCAACAGAATGATGAAATAAGGCAACACAAGGAGAAACTCGATAAGAAGTTCAAAGAACAAATGGAACGATAATACGACATGAATGTCTCGCAAATAAAATCATTCAGAAGAAAGACCCTGTGGGGATATTTTATCTCTTTCTCTCTTTTTCGAGAAAGAATTGATCTAGCTGATTAGTTTTAACTACGTACAAAGATTTTTTTTCTAAAAAACTTTCTTAATCAGTTGAGTCAAGCTTAGAGTAAAAATGTTTCTCTCTCGGGTTAACTGACTATTAATCAATCTGAGTTTTAATAGATTTAGTTCATTCGATTTCACTCAATTGGCGTCCCAAGGATGACACGCTATCTAACAATCAACAACCGTACTAAAACTACAAGGAAGTAATACCATTTAATTCGCTTTAGTTCAGTCATGATTGGCTCATAGTAAGTTGTTCCATAGTGAATCTTCTACACTATTCATCAACTCGTACATTTTATTTGCGAGATATTCAAAACATAATCTAATTTGATTATAGTTTGATATTGGCTACTAATAAGCCGTGCTTCAAAAACAAAATACGATACATATATAGCTATATATATATATATATATATCCTGCATAGGACTTTCTAAATGTTTACATGGAAGTTGTGCGTATATTATTATGTGGTAGCTGTTAAATATCAGCTAGAAGCAGTTCTTGAATGTCATCAATACAACTCAAACAAACAGGAAGGTTTCGCCTACGCGAGAGAGTTTATAATGATATCACTGCACGATTTTTATAAAATAATAAAAAGCCACAAAAGAATAGTTCACGCAGATAATACAAACAAACTCATTCGAGTATGGCACGCGACGACGGGATTAATTTCATAGGACAGAAGAATTACTAATGTTTCTCGCACTTAAAATACAGATATAATCTTTTGGAGAATGAAAGCATACTAGCGATTATTCAGTTCGGTCAGACATGCATACCTATGATAATGAGTAAAAAATCAGTGATGATGTTTTTCTTACGTCTGCTAGTTGATTTAGTTGTACGCTATTTTCTATTGTTCGAACTGTGACTGTGGCAGTCAATCTGAAATCGTTTTCCCCTTGCATCACTTAAATTAACCAAAGCTGGGAAAAGAAAAGATTGAATTGAGGAGATGCAAAAAGCACGCAACTATTTTGTATTTGTCTTAATAAAGATTCAATCATCATGAAGTAATACATGATTAAAACAATCACATGAACGAGATTAATACGGAAGGAAGTTAGCTTTTGAAAAATGAATTTAGAAACCAGTGTAGTGGAAGAGTTAAATGTAATTTTGTTCATGAATATTTTTTTTAATCATATAAACGTATGCAAAACAGAGTACTTCAGCGAGAAAAACGTCATTTCTGATATCACAGCATAATTCTTATAGCATGAGTGATTTATTATTGTGTAACACATTAATGCAATTTCATGCTTTATAAGTAACTAATCGATTGCATGTATTCCTTGAACTTCCCTTGATAAAATTGTTTAAAGAAGAGAATCTCATCAGTAAACAGTAACACAATATTATTGTTTACGAGCAACAATCAAAATTTGAACCAGATAAAAAAGTTATAGATAGTCAAAAAAGAAGAAATGTGAGCGAATGATTTCTTCGGTCGAAGATAATGATGGAGTTTTGTTTATACTAGATACTATTGTAATATAAGTCATATGTGTAGTGGGCGCTAGTGGCGATGAAAATATTGTTAGGAAGACTATCGTTATTCTGGCAACTGTATGATAATCTATCGTACTCGTAATTGGGTCTATTATATATTACATCATCGTAGTAATTATTCGATGTAACATTGATATATTCTTGTATCCAATCTACTATTTATAGAAGAAACTGACAAAAACTTAACTAGTATCAAAATTGTAAACGACAATAAGCCTATTTTTTTTTGCGAAAAAATTAATCACAGCTGGAGATACTATCAACTGTAATTCATAAAAATTTTCATCGTTTTATACAATGATTACGATGAATCGGAATATTACATCACATACTCGGATTTTTGTTTTTCATATTAACTTAATGTATCTTAATATCAATAAATCAAAGCTCTAAATACATATAAAATAGATCTGATCTACAATTATACTCGACAAGTGCTATTAGCATGAATATCGGTATAAGTAACATTGAAATATGTATTGTAAAACCTTAATTATAGTTACTGGTAGCCTTCATATGCGACATCATAGTAACAACAGTTTTCTATGGTATCCAATCATATGTGACCATAACCGCAAAAGTTATACAGCTGCGTGTTTAAACTAATTGAAAAAAATGTATTTGAAAACTCAATACCACAAACACACTTAAGATAAAACAATTTTTTTCCTTCGCGATGAAACATGAAGCCAAAAAAGGGCACCTTCTAACACCTTGATCGAACGCAATTCTCACATACGATTCATTTTTACTGCATTTTCACAGTTACGTTCGATTCTCGACATTGTGTGAAATGATGATTTAAAAATAAAACGCATGATTGACACTCGAGTCTTATGAATGATATTAAATATTCATCAAAGTTTTCATTGCTTTTTAAATTGCTTCTATTTTATGTTTATTTATAAATGAATGATGATGATGATGATGATGCCGAGAATTGATGTGATTGAAGCTCGTCAAAATGCCGTACGTGTATACTTGTGAACATAACGTCTAGCTGTACCATATATATATATATATCAGCAAAAGGATCCACTTCAAATGAAATCTACGTATAGTAGATGTTTTATTAACAGATCAAAGTCATTCAATTGTTGTGCAGAGATGAATCAATCAAATCAAAATGTTCTTTCATCTTTCGTTTTATCCCCGTGAACCTTGGCCAATGAGAATATACAATGATGCTTGCAATATCGATTGAAATTCGAGATTATTTCAGTAGTGCAAAGGATTCAAGTAGAAAAGAACTTTTTGTTCTATCATAAATTGGGCTACTTGTGAGTCAATAAAATGGTAAGTTTCTGATTTGACCCTTCTGACGAGACATTCTTGTTTAAAGTATACTCTATTATTGTTGATTGTGACGACAAAAAAAGAAGTAACAAGTGAATGTCATCGTTATTTCTACGGATAATAGAGCGAAAAAACCTTTCATTATACACGCTTCCCCAAATATCCGTGATTTTGTTTTGTTTCTATGTGCACAATCGAAAAAGAAACCATTCGTGATTAAGCATAAAGCGCAAAATATTTATTATACGTAGAAGCAACAATTAGGGATATATAATTTTACAAACAAAAACGAAGAGAAGAGAAACCGATCTATCTTCGACAGGATAAAATTGGAAAAACAATTATTTGACCAGCTGTTCGTTGACCTTGTGTAAAGTCAGCAGCATCAATATCCATACCCATATAATCGTCATGCATATATGTATATGGTTCTCTGAGGGCGTGGATGTTAGTTTTCACTTAACAGAAGCGCACACTCGCATCTATACACAATCACCCAAGCACGCCACCCACGTTCGTGTCAATCTCATATCTCATAAATTGGTATGTAGTCTATTGAATGTTACTGATATCTTGCAGTCTAACCTATGTATGTTTCAGCTTATCCCGCAAACAAAAATATGATCGTATTTTTAATCAATGCACAATTGAGTAAATCTTGCATCTCTCTTTTATCTTCATTTATTGGAGCATAGCGATAGAAAAACGATGGACTGTATGCTTGATCAAATCGAATGAAAGTCTCGTCACAATGTCTATCGGTCATAGAGAATTTCGGCAATGGATGCATATGCCTCCTCGAGTTCGTCGGGATCGTCAATGTTGATCAGAGTACCTTGGATTGTTTGATTGATTTTCTCGATAGTTTTCTTGTTGAAGTCCCCAAGAGCCATTGTCCAGAAATGATGTATCAACGTTTTGTCATTCTGATTGGAAGTAGAACCTATTCGAAATAAAAGAAAACTAGAACTGGTTGTCGTTTAGAATCTATAAGGTGGGTCTGCAAAATTTGAAAAACACATCGATAGACTATTCAATCTCATTAACGGTACATATGCAAAAGCGTTAAACTGTCAATGAAAACGTTTTACATGCATACTAACCTGGTCTATAATCACACAACTGTTGCAACTCTTTCTGCGGATATACTTGAGGTTCACCATCGGTCATAAAAATAAGTGTTTGTTGGTATCTATTTCGTTCTGGATTCTTATTGACTTCTTCTAACGTCTTTATAACCATTTGAAATGCAGCAGAAAAGTTCGTAGTTTCACCACATATTTTCATCGGTATGTTTAGTTGGCCTATATCAATTTCGGTCAGCTTTTGTCGATTATAAATTAGTACTGCTCGTTCGCCAAATAGAATTACGGTAATTTGATCGTCAAAAGAAGCTTGACGTATACGAATATCAAGAAACCCTTTCACAGCGCGAAGTAGACATCTCCAAGGAGTGCGATTGATTTCACTAGAATCATTAGCTACTTTATTTCCTTGTGGCGCAGCGCTTCCAGCGGTCGATCGTCTCAAAATATTAATTTCTTCATTCATCGAACCAGAATGATCAAGCATAAAAATGAAGTGATTTATTGGGAGTGGACTATTTTTTTCGACAAATTTCATTCCATTTTTATAATGCTCACATAACTGTTCACCAATCTGTTTCCACATATAAACATAAGGCGGTGTTAAATTTTCTCGAGTTCTCGGATCACCAAAATCCCAATCGGGGTTGGCATTTTTGAACGCTTTCCATGTTTGTGGCATTTTCTCACTGATAATAACTTGACCTTCGTCTTTAATGATCTCGCACCATGCAATTGATGCTTCACCAGTAAATTTATGATAGATGCCGCCCATACCACGAATTTGATGACCGAACTGACAACGATGTCTATTTTCTCCTTGTCCAATAGGACAAGTAAGTTCCAAATGATGATCAACATCACATATCCGTTTGCAGCAAGGACATGAAGCTGCACAACCTTGTATTTGATTCAATAAATGTTCATAAATATCCCGATAGGTTTCTGCAATAAATGAACTCATTTGACTCGATAGTGCTTGTGCGGTTTTAGTCTGTTCACTGAGTATCTTATCCAGAAAAAGACCAAAATAACTGATCGTAGCAGTTTCAAATGCGTTTTCAAGCGATCGAAAAGTATGCTTGATTTCTTCGCTTAACTTTGGAAAGTTATCAACCAGAGTTTTCCACCGATCATTAACAGTGTACGACAGACTATTTCTAGTAGAAATTTCCGTTGAAACTTGTTCACCAATAAGATAATGATGGAAAAGTTTTGCCATGCAAAATTTCTTGTCAGTTAGCTGATAATTGCCTTGATCCGTGAGTGGCTCGAATAAATCTTCAACTAAAGAAAGAGAGTGTCCACCTTGTTCTTGTGATATCGTATTAATTGTCTTTATGACACCAAAAATTTCAATCAATTTTTCTGAAGTTGTATTAACAATTGGTTTAAGCTTTTCGTCTGTTGTTGCTTCTATTTTCGCCCATTTTTGCTTAAATCTTTCTATAATCAAGTCTTGAGGATTGAGAACATAACGCATAAGCCAATCATTTCTTGCATTATATACTTCACCATCGAGTTCTTTGATAATAGTAAATCGACTCACTGTTTTCGTTTCCTTGTCGATTTGGCTTTTCATAATTTCCTTGCCTTGTGACTCAAATGATTGACACAACACTTGAGAAAGTTCAGTTATGATGTTAATGGCAACACACGTTCATCATCGTTCTCTACAAGAATCACCCAAGGAATAAATTTTTCTATTGATTTGTCCTTATTTTCATGGACTCCTTTGATAACGTCTAGAAAATGAGTCTTTTGTCGATTGTAGTAATATAAAGCTGCCGATATGACAGTACAGATGTATAAAGAGCTACGAAATTGCTTCGATAGACAGAAATTGAACACGTTTAATTCATTATTAAATTCTTGGATGATTTTGTTAACTTCTCCTATAATCTCTTGGATAAACGTAATCTCAGTGAAAGGTTCATCACTATTCTTTGATCTTAAACATTTTTCGATACTGGTGGTTAACATTTCGAAACAAGTCGATAATTTAACAATTGTTGTCCAATGTTTTTGGAAGAGCTCTGAATATCGCTGACGCGCATCTTTCCTAAAAAATTGTCTTTTCTGATTGGTGTTTGCATTGAATTCAACAAATATCGTTGATAATTGATCATTGTCAAGATATGTGTACCGCTGTTCTATTTCTTTGGCAGAAATAGTTCTAGCTATATCGAGTGAATGTGGAACTAGTGGTACTAACTTCGAAGCTCGAGTTACACATTCAGCGCAAATTTTTGATAAACAATCATTTATGAAGATTGGATGATCTGGTACAGGATCTAGAGTCTTAAGAAAAGGTACGTAGGCAAGAAAATTGTCCCCTGATGGTAAAGCATCTGTATTGAGTACATCACATAAATGAGAGACCATTTCAATTGATGTTGTCCATACGATTTCCGATTTGAACCTATCTTTTATTTGAGCCACTAAATTGTCAAATTCTAGTTCAAACATTTCACTTGCCGCTTGTCTATCCAATAGGCAATTTTTGTGAGTGATACTGTTTGCTGGTCGAAGTTTGCTGTCGATTTCAGTGACTATTTCATCTCTTTTGCATCGCTCAGAATTCATCACAGCCGAAACTTCCCACGAACGAAAGATACTAATCATTTGTACTTCCATAAATTTCAATGATCGTGTACGAATATTATCGGTGGCTTCATGATTGTCGCAGTGCTCTTTGAGCTTATCTTCGAGCAATCGTAACATACGATTATATTCGATTTTGAATGATTGTTTGATGTGATCACTGTCGTTTTGTTTCTCTTTTTCCAACAGAAAACGTGCTACTGCTGGAGACAAATATTGATCAAAATCGTTTCGAATATCCTCTCGGATTTTATTGTATTGATTTCGCTCAAAAAATTCCTGAAAATAGGTTAAATCTGGATGTTTTTTAATTGTTTGAAGCACCCGATTAGCAAAAACGATCCAATTGTTTGGTACACAAAAAATGTCACCCGTTTCACGAATAACATCTGATGAAATATCGATAAAATGCTGACAGAGCTTTTGAACATTCGTAACAAAGGCTTCAACGGTTGACGATACTTTACATTCGCCATTCAAATTTATGAATGGTTTATAGTTGAATGCTTGTGATAAAACGTGAAAATTCTCCGTTTTAAGATTTATTTCGTTGTTCAAGTTATTCTCCGTCAAGGTTTTTTGAACGCACTCAACAAGTGACTTGCAATATTCTTCATTTAAATGAAATCTTTTGTTTAGAACAAAATGTACCGTTGGTCGTCTAACACGCGTCTCGCCGAGATACTGGAGGGCTTGTGTACAAAGAACAACACATTTTTTTACTGGCTCAATAATTTCTCCGTCAACATTCACAATCACCAAATGGGATACAGCCAAACAGAAAAGAATCAATTTTTTATCATATGGTTCATCAGTCTTCTGGACAGACAGCAAACCTTCAGTATCAATCACAAGAATGCAATCGTAATTAAGCGCAACAAGTTTGTCTTTGCTAACTTTGTTTTGAATATTAACTAATGTTCCATACATACCTGTAATGGAAGAATATTTGATCGTAATGAAGAAAAATATGTAAATCATTTGTTTTAACAGCAGCGAAAATAGCTGCACAACGAATATAAAGAGAGACTACCATTTTGGCGAAATTTACTTTTGCAGAAAAACTGCAAAAATAAATTCCGTATAGTCTAACCTTATGTTGAATTATAATGTCAATGTGTAATTACATTATAGCACTATTACATAGTGACGATATACATAGCCATTGAATGTAGAATCACGTTACCGTATAGTGAAAAATACTATCGTTTACTGGTTTAAACAGCCGATATGTACACACTATACGAAGAATGAAAAAACATTCGATGGCTATGTATATCGTCACTATGTAATAGTGCTATAATGTAATTACACACTGACATTAGAATTCAATATAAGGTTAGACTATACGGAATTTATTTTTGCGGTTTTTCTGCAAAAGTAAATTTCGCCAAAATGGTAGTCTCTCTTTATATTCGTTGTGCAGTTATTTTTGCTGCTGTTAAAACAAATGATTTAGAAATTTATCAAACTCGCTGAAATACTTATAATAAGAGAAATATGACTTAACTTCATTCATTCTCCTTTTATAAAACGGATTGTTTTGTCAATTTTTAGACGTCAGAATACGATCTTACCTTTAGTACATCTTCCATCGCGCGCTTCGAATAAAGTACCAAATAAGAAGTTAAGTAATGTGCTTTTACCACTATTCTGAGGCCCAATCACACTAATGACAAAGAATTTCTTGTTAGGAAGCAGTCGGAACACCTTTTTTTAAGAAATCGCCTTGCATTTCGAAATTATCGCCATCGACTATTTCGAACGGATTTCCTGCGACAATATAATCTCGATATGCATCGACAAGTATTTGTTGTTTAGCGTCGGATAGATAAGGTGAACCGATAATTGCATTACGCCAGTGAATTTCCAATGAAAGTTGCTCATAAAACGGCACGCCTTCGCGATTCATCGTCTGTTTTTCTCTTTCACGTTTCAACTCCATTGATAATAAATTCAAATAAGCTAATCGGGATTCTTGACTGTCAAGCAATTCCAAGAAGAGCCTGAATCCAGATCCATATTGATGAGGGCCCAGTTGCAGTTGTCGTTTGAATTCAGAATCAGCTTTAAACAATTCATTGTTAAGTTTATAGAGTTTATCGTTTTGAAAATCTTTTCCATATGAATCAATTTTGACGACTTCTAATCTTGTCCTACACATATTTATGTATAAAGAGTATAACGGATAATCATCTTTGTTGCCATTAATCAGAATGGGTCGAATTCGATTAATGAAAGCTTTGTCTTGTTCAATAGTTGTTTTTTCAGTAACATTCATTAGTTTTTCTAGATACTCCCGAATTGAGTTCTCATTTAAACACTGAAAGCTAACTGAGTCCCTACAGATTTTTTCACGAAGATCACCAACTTTTTCTTTGTTTTCATCTGTGCTCTTGTCGCTGACGTTTGGCAAAAACTGAATTTGGCAATTTGAACAAGCATAATGTATAGCTTTGGTAGCTGATTGTATATCTTCATCATTTTCATCTTCTACATCACGAATGAGCAGTAAAACATAGCTTTTATTTGAGGCCAATTTGACGTAATCGATCACTTTCGATACATTCGAACATAGATAAGTCGATTCGACATGAACAAGAAAACCATTGAATATCATCGATATTTCATTGAGAGTTTCGTTCGAGAGTTCACCATGAGTATCTGCAATATTTACAGGACGTCGTTGAACAAAATTGTAGCCAAAATCAACATCGATCGTCTGATAAAAATATTTATCTTTCATAGATTGTTCAAAATTACTTTCGAAAACAGCATTGATTAGTGAAGTTTTTCCTTTAAATCTACCTATACCAAATGAAAGTAAGATGGGTCGTTGATAATCCCATATATGAATGATATTTGGTATCGAACGATATTTGTTGTTCTTGGAGTCGATAGGAGGCTGTATCATTGGTATAGGATTACATTTGCTAAGAAGAGATACTAAACATCGACAGAGAAATCGATCTGAATTTATCATCATAGTATCAATTAGAAAGCGCTGACTAACAGCACATGGTATTTTCTTTTCTTTCGCAAGTAAACGCTTGAGTGGACCGGTAAAATCTGTTAGATTTTGTTCCCGTTTTAGCAAATACATGATTGGTTGCAGAGTTTCCAAAACAAATGCATTAAAATCACGACCAGGATCACGTAAGAATCTGCTCACAACGTTTGTTGCAATATCTTTCATCGTAATTTCAGTGTACTGAAGTTCGCCAGCGTTGACAAGATGTTTAAAGGTATGCTGAAACGCACCAACATTGTTGTCTACTCATTAAAAAAGATAATAAACAATCGAATTGGCTAAATAAGAAAGAAGAATCGATTTTTACTTCAAAACCTGTACAGTACGGGCAGTGTCACCCATAACTTTGATCTAGTGTACATGCAGAATGTGCGAGTTCAAGAAACAAAACAGAATTCAAACTTGCAAGGGTGTGAGGTGCGTGTGGATGTGAATGTATGGAAGCTGTTCACGCTGAAACTCTTGCCTCTGCCTACACTCACACCCTCATTGAACTTAGAATTGGCCCATTTTTTGTACCAATAATAGGGAAAACTCACTCTCTTGGCAGAATTTACTGATTATCCACTTCATATTAATTACCCTCTTTAGGTTAAATATCAATCGAAAACTGAATATTTTAGAAATAACAAACCTGTTTTGGGATTGATATCGGGGATATTGATAAGAGATGGGTTTTTCTCATTCATTCGTTGTTCATAATCAGACTCAATTATTGAAGTGAGTACATTCAAATCAACAATAATCGCTTTGATCTAGGCAAATACTTAAGTTCAACGGCAGAAGTGAAAAAAGACACTGGCTTACCTTGTCATATTGTTTTGCCAATTCGATGTATTTCTCTTGTTGCAAACAGAAGACGTAAATTGACGATACTTGTTGCAAATCATGGATACGAGGTACCAAATCTTTGCCATATCCTCCACTCACAATAAGAATAACTCGACTCAACCCGGTCAGTTGTCGAATAGCATCTTCACAATCTTCAACAGATTGAAATTTTTTAAAACTAGTGTATATCGTAGCTAATTTTTTCTGTGCATCTGAATTTTCGACATTATTCACAGTAGGATCGAGCCACATTAAAACAGATGTTGGCGCATTATTGTTGGTCGCTGGACAGTTATCGGCAGATAAAACATTGGTAGTCATATTTCTTCAGATACTCTAACTCGAGCAGCCAACGTCGTTTGTTAAAGCCACCTTTTTATAGGCGTCAAGAATTCTGTCTTTATCTATTACGAGTTCTATTGTAAATATTTATCCACGCTGTACATTTCTCAGCAATGATGTCACTAAACAATTGTGAAGATTGTTTTTTTAAAGCACTTTCTACCGAGAAATCCTTTCGCATGACATTGCGTTTATGATGACTTTCTCCCGTTGCTCGTATGGGCGCATGTGAATGAATAGAAGATCCACACTCAAACTGTTTTCTCTACTCACATCCACATCCTTAAATGTCTTCTGTTTTCAGTATATTTACAAATGAATAATGTTGATGATGATGCAGACGATTGACGTAATTAAAGCTCATCAAAATGCTGTAAATGTATACTTGTGCACATTACGTCTAGCTATGCAATATATATCAGCCAAAGGATCCAGTTCAAATGAAATTTACGATTCGTAGATATTTTATTAGCATATCAAAGTCATCTCTATTGTTATTCAGAGATAAATCAATAAAATCAAAACAGTGTTTCATTTTTCATTTTCCCCCCGTGAACCTTGACTGACAAAAGTATCCCATGATACTTGCAATATTAATTGAAACATTTTTGTTTAAAGTATCCTCTATTATTATTGATTGTGACGACAAAAAAAGAAGTAACAAATGAATGCCATCGTTGTTTCTACGGATAGTAGAGCGAAAAAACCTTTCATCACACACGCTTCCCCAAGTATCCGTGATTTTGCTTTGTTTCTATGTGCACAATCGAAAAAGAAATCATTCGTGATTAAGCAGAAAGCGCAAAATATTTATTATAGAAGCAACAATTAGGGATATATAATTTTACAAACAAAAACGAAGAGAACAAAAACCGATTTATCTTCGACAGGATAAAATTGTAGAAACAACTATTTAACGAGCTGTTCGTTGCGCTTGTGTAAAGTTAGCAGCATCAATGTCCATACCCATATAATCGTCGCGCATATATGTATATGGTTCTCTGAAAAAGAATTCATTAAATAAATATGAGATTTTTCATGTATAAACCAATTCTCACATTATTGGAGTTAGTATGTTATTCACGAACACCACGTCTGCCCATAGTTGTAGTGTTAGTTCCTGAACGATTAGTATTTCGATTATTAGTATTAGTCGATTCTGGTTGTGCAAACGGTTTACTATTCGAATGACACACACGCATACACATTTTATTTTGTTAATATTTTTTATGTTTATTCATTTGTTTTTCTTACCTATCAATGTCCATATCACCGCCACTGTTGATTGAATTCCAATGGTTCATATCTGGTGATTCTCGGCCATCTAAGGGATAGCCATCTAATTTATTATTCATATAGAGCAAACTGTGAGCAAGCAAAACAAAAAGAAGCGTAACTTACCTCCTTCATTATAACCAAATTGATCTTGATAATCATCTTGATCACCAAATGACATTGGATCAAAACCATAAGGTTCAGCATTACCCGTTGGTGATGGTTCATCATCTTCATATGAAATTTGTTGCCCTTCAATTGTTTCAAGCCATGTTTGATTATGATTACGAAAACGAGCATGTTTAATGCGGCCTGCCCAATCATTATCGCATTCCTAATTATAATTAAATCGTTTCAATTTTGTTTCTATAGAAAAACGACTTTTATGCATACACTAATTATTTCAAGTGTCATATCACAGACACGTCGAACTTCTTTATTTTTATCTTGCATCAGATCAATTAAATAAGCCGGAGCCTCTGTTTCATATTTAAAGAAAATAATGAATAGAGAAGTAAACATAAGAATTTCATACCGGTGTTTTTAATAATCACATTACGAGTTGATTTATGAAAACAAAGTTGATAGAAGACATAACATATTTGCAAGACAATTTCATCATCTTCTTGTTGTGCTATGAAACAAAGCAAAAAGGTGGATCTTTCTTTGTCTGTTCTAAATTCTCTTTGCTCAGCTTCAAAGCGATAGAAATCAATAGAAGATCGAATTTTTAGAGTTTCTATTGTTTAAATTCTTACCTCTTCTTTTCCTATTAGTTCTTCTTGGCAATACTTTTTATAACAAACAAAAACAAAGAGGAAATAACAAATTTGCTTTCTCGAAATCAACGCCAACAGAACATTTTCGAAACAAACTTACCGTGCAGAAGGTCAATAAGAATTTGAATAATATCACTTTTAGCAAGAACTTCAGCGCATGCATCGTCAGCACAAAGTGTACCAACAAGTACAACAACATTTAATGTCAACTCAGTATCAGCTGAATTTGGTTTCAATTTTGATTTAATCCATTCAACAAGACCATATTCGTCCATTAAGGCTTGATAATCAATATCGGGCATTGTTAAATTAGCTAATGTACCAACAGCTTCCGTAAGAAATACTTCATCTTTTTCTGTAATTAATGTTTCACCCAACGGACCGACATATGGCTAAGAGAAAACAAAAATGAACTTTTCGAAACTTCTCAAAACGAATTTTTGCTTACAACAAATTGACTTTTAATATCCGGCGAAGCATGTGATGATATATTTTTAATCATTTTCATTATTAATGAATCCTTATATTTATAAGCTTTTTTCATCAATAATTTTAGACCTTTGCCATGTTTATATTCTAATAGTTGTTCGGCACAACCTGGATTCAATGCGAGATTAATTGCTAATGCAATAACTTCAGGTTCAGTACGTTCTTCTTTGCAGTCAATAATTAATTTCATTAACTAAAATAAGTTTTCATATTAATTTCAAAAACAAAACAAATGACGAGAACGGATCAAATTATTTTTCTATCTCTTCCGAAATCTGGTGGAATTACGTCAATGACGACGGCGACTCCTGTTGATATTCCGAGATTTTATTTTGCGACAGCTGCCAATCATACGTTCTGACCAACCCCCATATTCCCTACAGCGATGACATTAAACATTTTCCTATACATAGGGTGAAATACGAGTGTTGGCGGAAAAATAAACTGTCGGAATATAAACATGAATTCCTCCTATGACTTTATCCCATGGTATGTTGATGGATAAAAAAAATAGTCTTAGCCGACATCATCCATTGAATCAAAAAAACATTACATTTTGATTGCATTTTGTATATGTAAAATAACCTTTTGTTCGATCGTCCATACTTAAGTGATACAATAAACACAAACAAATCAAGCGTTGATTCTCATCATCTATGAAGACAAAAAAGAAATATTTTAAAATTTATTTTTTTCAGATTAAAATCATTTACCGATTAAATCGACTAATTTTGGTAGCAAACCAATACGAACAATTTGTGCACGAATATCACGATCAAATGATAAATTAAGTAAAAGTCGAAGTGTTATATTTAACAGATCAGCTTGATGACTTGGAATTAATCGAGCAACTTTCATAACCAATTTTAGATCTCGCTAAACAGATGTTATTCATATATAATAAATGATTTATTTCTTAATCAAAACAACATTCCGTATGATAAATCACTTTGTGTACTAGCATGTCTTTATTTTCGACATATGTCGATTCTACTAACGAGAATAACATCGAAAAATGATTAATCGTTTTTAAGTTCAAACTCAATGGTTCAGGTAGACTTCAATGACGCGTAGAATTTCCTTAATAGGAAAACATGAAGAAGAATTAGAAGATTTTCATGTCCTACTAAGATTGAATTTTAAAAACGATTATCCGATGTCGTTTATGACACATAGAATTATGTGCGATTTGAGACCAAGAAGGTCTCTTATGAAATTGAAAATCACCTTCACAATGAATCTCAATTCGGAAAGCAGCACAATTTCAAATGTTAATATTTTTACACTAGGCGATGTAAAATTCTATTTGACTTGTTGTCAATTTATTTTATATCCAGAAAAATATACGAGAAAAGAAACGGATTAAAAGAGCCTATTGAAAATAGGTCGAACTACATTCTATATCTGTCAAACAAAATTAGACGCCACACGCACAAACTAAATCCTGAGAAAAAAATTAATTTGCGTTGAATAAAAAGAAAAATAAATAGATATCTCAAAATGAATAATTATTAATGAATACAATCATTGCCTAGAGCAGCTTCATCATTTATAACATCGAAATAAACCCGAGGAAGTGCACAACCAAGTGCAGATATAAGTGGTTCTCGTTTTAATTGACATATATGCGGTACCGTTTGTCCCATTATTGATTGAATAAATAATTTTATATCATGCGCAGCTTGTTTCTCTATTTGAAAAAATTCTCCAGTTAATATACAAGAATTAACCGATGGATAAAGTTTACATATTAATTTTATTGTTAATGCTATATTCATAGTAACCATCGATAACAATGAACGACTCATTGCTGAACGTGTTTGTGTTGATGATGATTCAAGAAAGCTATCATCCGTTTGTGTATGAACATCAAATGTTGTAATACCTTGATCGTAGGATGCTGCGCGTCTATTCGACCAACCACGATAAATATAATGTGGTCTGTTTGATATAGAATAATCATTCGGAAAGTATTTTGGTGGTAAACGAGTGAAACTTGTCATTGGTATTTGCGATGAATAGATTGATGATGAACGGTTACAATTTTTACAGAGATCTTGGCGACTGAAATCGAATGAAATTGATGGAGATCGTCGGAAGGAAAACGGCGAAAATACATTCGGCGAAGACGTTCTAAATAGAAAAAGAAAAAAATTGCAAAGATCGAAAATCAATGATATATCATTCGATTTATTTTGAGATTGTCTTCGAATGAAATTTAAGAATTCAATCAACTTGAATTTTCACATTTCATCAAAACAAAAAACATGTTAATCTGTAACATGATTCTATACGTATCATAAGCAAATACATTATTTACAAGCTCAGTAGAGAGATAAATCAAAAGTCCCAGTTGGATATTCGACTGTCCGGGTGTCATTTATCAGTAGGATCATTAGTATTAATGACTATCAATCTGATTAGAGTTGGCATCCTTATATCTCTATCTTCTTGTTTGGAATCAATGAAAACAAAAGTGGCAGTTAAAAATATGAAATCTATATTTACATTTGTTCATCATTATTTATATCAACACCAGGTTGAAGAAGTTTGATTAAATTTGAATACGTTTTATAACATAGATTATTTGATGTTATAACCGAGTATTTACTCGGTGAATGCACAATATAAAAAAATGTACTTGCTGCTTCAGCATGCACAAGTATGTAAGGATAAAGTTCATGTTTATCGTGTTTCTTTTTATGATTGTGATTGAGACTTTGAATAAGTTCATCTTCTTCATCGATCGATCGATTTTGTTTGCGCAGAAAAAAATCTAGACCAATCATATAGGATTCAGCACGATATTGAATAATATCGAAATTTAAATTTATTTTATTTAAACGCGACGAAATTTTCAATTCATATTCATTTGTTTGTTCACCTGTTAAAGCAATATTAAGAACGAACGATGATGCTAGTGTTGAATTAAAACGTATAAACGATTGTAAATGTAGAAGAACAAGATCAAATTCTTCATGTGTTAATGTAAATAAACGAAAATTTCCTTCTTGTTCAGTTACTGTATGTAAATCAGCATTTAATATTGACCAATCTTGATGTTCATTATTGACAATCAACGATATAAGATGGCGTTGAAATACAATTGTTGAATAATCGACATTTTGTGGATACAATTCAAGTAAAACAACATGTACACTTGTCGTCGTGACATTTAATCCGATAGCTGGTGCATGACATGGAGACGAGGTATTGCATTTCGTGTCATCATTCGCGATTGTTCTATTGGCTTCGGAGTTTGCTGAATATGAGTCTAAGATACAAAAAAAAAATTAATTTTGATGAAACAGATTTTCAAAACTGATGAAATTCTATTGATTAAATATTTTATTTATACAGAATGTTTTAAATTTGATCTTGTTAGAAATATCAATACTATTTAACATTTTCACAGCCTTGCTATATCAATAGGACTGCCCTTAAAATAAAAATAATCAATATTTGTCGGGACGCTCAAATTTTTACTGTGCATTTTTTTTCTGTATCGTTAGATAAAAGCGAATAAAACTCTATATATATTTTTTTTTCGAATGTCCGACATCAATATCCTCTGATCTAAATTATTGACGCACTTTAAGTATAAATGTCTAGATATGTATTGGAAAATGAAACTACTTACCAGTTCGACTTCTTGGTGATATTGACTCATCGATAAGAATAACTTGAGTATCTTGTTCAGCTACTGTTGATATAGATGAATTTGAACGTGATGAAAACGCTGATGAATTCGTTGATGTGGATGATGATAAATCTCCTCCGTCCATTGATAGAAAACTCGAATAGTGTGATGATGATTTTTGATCATCGAACTTTTTCAATAGAGGTGGTGATTCCATTTCTTCGACATTTTGTTTCGTAGGTGTTTTAACATTACTACCTTTTGATAAAAGTTCGACAAGTTTAGATACTGTTTCAAATGTTTTTATTGGTCTTGTTATGGTAACATTGGATTTACATGTTGATGGGCCACGTTTTGGTTTATAAAAATAATCGCTATGCTCATCGCGTAGTCTATCGAACGACCGAGGGGATAAAGATCGGTGGAAGAAACCTGAATAAGTTCCACTACCGGCACCACCTTCGTCTCCGTGTTTAGTTGATGCCATTAGTTAGTAATTTGAATAAAATAAAAGGGAGACGAAGATCTACAAATTGTCTAAACTTTTCTTTTTTTTTGTTTTTTCTTATTCGAATGTAATAAGATGTGTCACAATTTGTACATCTAACAAATATAATGTCATAAAACCTGATTATCATATATGAACTTAAAGGTGAATAGGATCAGATGTCATCGTGAAAAGAGATCGCGTTGTGTAATTGTCATCACACAATGAAGAGAAAGAAACGATGAAGAGTGACACGGTAATTATCAAATAAATGTAGAAAAAAAAATCGCAAACGTCAATAAACCATGGAAATTAAGTATACATTTTAACTATAATATTCTTTCTGATTACTTTAAGATAACATAATCTCTCAGACGAAGTTGAAGCTTTCTTTTTTTCTCTTTGACACACAAGACTAATCAGCTTTTCTAGATGTAAATATTTTTGTAACGTAATGGACATGACTACTCAAATGCATGTGTTATTTG